AACGATTTTTTCGCTTTATCCCGAATTTATAGCCGATTAGCATCGCAGCAAACGAACGAAAAAATTCGTTCTAAAACGGATTTTAGCGAACAAATTTGAATTTATTAATTTTCGATGCATAAACATAGAGATTTCGGTCGAACAAAATTGCCGTTCCAGCTGTAATTGAAGCACGCATGCTAACATTAGGTTGATTATCTTTTAAAAGTTTTACCGAACGATCTACCAGCGAAATGTTACTAACTTAATCCCTTAAATAATTAAGAAACAAAGTTCTGGTCACGAAAATTCGTCGACGAATGAAACTTTCACCGTATTTTTTCTGATGAAAGAATTAGGAAAATCTTCGACGGCATGAAAAGTGACGCAGTGCTTATCCAATTAGCCGAGTGTTGTAAGTATACCGTCAAACTTTTTCAGTAAACAGTATAGACGGCAAAGATTAAATGGTTAATTCACCCCTTCTTCATCCCAGTCGGTATTCATTTACTGATCCAATCTGCTCTATATCACAGGGTGGCTCACTCACATCTCAATTAAACATTTTATAGTCATAGCCCCTAATTTCTGGTATTGATGTTACTAAGTCTAGTGAATCTTAATGCTCGACTGTTAATCATATTACAAGCCAACAAGAGCTCTCGCTGATTAGTGGCGTTAATGCAAATAATTAACATACTCAAAATAATAATTTATTGATGAGAAATTAAATTAATAAGCGTCCAGTTTTTCAAATATTATTGGTCACCTTGTAGTCTCTTCGCTGGATATCCAATCAGTGGAGTGTTGAGCAATCGGAATTCGATTGGTCAGCACTTTCACCACAGTATCCATTCCCTATCGCTGACGGCGACAAAATTCAATAAAACTTCAATTACAGGATTCGCAAGGGAATAACCAGGTGCATCTTTAAAAAAACTAATGTCCGATTCTATCCATCAAAAAATCCATTAAATATAAATCAATTTTATTATTAAAGTATCTCTAACGCATGGGTATTTAAATTATAACAGCTTTATTATTGTATTTATTTTAATATTTTTACAGACCCTGAGTATGCTCCTAGGGTTAATATAAAATTGATGTTATTGTCACTAAGCCCAAATATAAAAGATGAGTAAAATTCGAAATATAATAATTCCACTCTGTATGGTGTTGTAAGTTTCGTTTTCTTTGTCCCGCCTCGCTGTCGACAAAAGCACGATACGTTATCAGAAAGTTCCTTAATGAAAACCTTTTATTTTTCGAGTTACAATTCACCCGGAAAGCTGACCAAGACCCGAGTCCGAGAAAATACCGTTTCAATGTATTTTTTCCCTAGCTCTCGACTGATTGCCGTATAACCCTCTAAATGAGAGTCATTTGTACACCTTGTTCAGGAGGCAAAGGGTCACAAATACGTTTTTGTGAAATACCTAATAATGGCACACGGTGTTTTTTCATTTTCTTACTGAGTGTTATTGGATACGAGTAATAAATTAATTCGTATTTACAATCAAGCAATAAAAGCGGTCCTAAACGAGGAAATGGGGAATGAACAAAACATTAATTGGGATTCATCGGTCCTATATATTTAGAATTCAAAGATCACTTTCAATAAGACCTGCTCTCGAGTTTGTTGGAACTGAAATAAATTTTCATTCGGCTGACAAGGATATTTAAAGCAAAGGGGAGAAGTAATCTCGGTCTGATTTTTCATTTTGATGCCAGGAATTAAAAGTACATTTTTTATTAAAAAAATCTTTTTCAAGGAGATTAATTCAGGATTAGTCCTTTAATTGAGCGTGCATGACAGGGTGAGAGAATTTGAGTAGAAATAAATCCATAACAAGAATCCTTTAGGAAGGAATATGAAGATCTTGGTATTGTTATTGCTAGAATCATAAAATGGCGAGTCGAACACAATATAATCAAGTTTTGATAATAGATCTTATGAATACTATATAAAGGCAGCGATTTTCTGGCTTGGTTTATAGCTGCGAAGGCAGACCAAAATGAATGCCATAGATCATTTCGAGTACAAAGGCCCCTAAGCCACAACATCGAAAGCCACTGTGATGTCAGCTACTTATAGTGGGTACCCCCTCGTTGGAAACAGTGGCGTTGGTATTCAATTATACTACATTTAAGTACATTTTACTAAAATTTCTTCAAATTTGTATAACTTTATTATTATAAATTATAACCCTTAATCATAGTTATACTAAGATAATAAATCATTCATAGAATAAGTTTATACTATAATACCGATTTACCTCCAATAGCATTTTAATTACAACTTTATAAATAATAAAAAGAGTTTGTTTTTTAACTCATTGTTAATAACAATTTTTGCATTGGAAATATTGCGCCATTTAAATCAATCCACTGCACAAGGAAAATTTTAAGAAAGCAAATTTTTCTAAAAAAATTCGGGACACCTTTTTGTGCGGCTCTGTGCATCGTTCACTTTCCCCATTGCTGTATAAAAACCATTTAGGTTTTACTGCCACATTATTAGAGAAACCATTAATACAAAACGTTCATTAAATATTATTTAAAGTACAATAATTCATTAGCGACCGGGGAGGCAGCATCTTCCAGCTGAACTTTTTTTCGTTAATTCTCGGTGGAGATAAAAAGTTATGATTGAAGAAAGTTCAAAATAAATCACGGAATGGTGATAAGACCAGGGAAACCGCTTTTGATGGTAATGACTTAAAAAAAAGTTCATTAACAATGAAGGAGGTTTTAAGATTATTTAGTGCGAAGTAAAATTGAAAAAAATACGTAAGGTAAACTAATTTGAATGGACGAAGTTTCACTTTTACCGAGTTATTTTTTAAAGCGTAAGTACGTGTGAGTTTGATAAAATTCTCCTGAGAACAAACACGAAATATTACTTATGTTGAACTTGTGGCTTTGTGGTAATAAATATAATTTGGAATTATGTATGCAAAGCATTCTGTTACTGATGGCAGAACACTTTAGAAAGCAACCGCCTTAAATTCTTTATAGAGTGAAATTCGCACCCATCTTCCTAGTTCTGGTTTCCCAACTGTACGCAAGGAATATTTTAAGTTTTCGTGCGTTTTCAACTATACGCTTGAACGACTGCAAAGGGACGTAATGTCTCCGAGCTGGCTCTGCCGCACATATTTATCATACATTCATCACTGAAATAAGTGTTATGAAGAGCCGTACCCCATATGTGATACTTATTTTTGATGCGCGGCTTTCTCCATTATATATCATTCTTTTGTTTTAGCCAACCCTCGTATTTTTCCCCTTTTCTACTCATTGCCGCTCACAATAGTTATGGTTAATGTCCACAGACCAAAAATGGTTGAAGCTATTATTTCAATTAAACTCGACGGGATTCTTCAATACATACGGTTGTATTATGTGCAAGAGCATGATACAGCCCTTGGGCAGTACAACTTTTTCATAAATCCTTGTTAAATAAACATTTTTACTAGCTACATTATTCTTAAACTTTCCAAACTCTACTTTAATTTTTAGGGCAATGTTAAAACTTAATAGGTTAAAGAATGGTATTTAGAATATAAAGTTTTCTTTATTCTTGTTGAACATTTTCATCGTTAGCTTCATTTTCATCCTTGCTCCTTCAAAATGGAAGTATAATATTTTGCTCCCCTCATAAATCCATATATCAGTGTGTTATAATTTGATTGTTATAGAGCAAAGCAGAGGCGCTTATGCAAAATATGCAAATTAGTTTTAATACGGTAAAGTCCGAATTTAGGGTCTTCTAAACGCCCCTTTAGTAATTGTCTTCAAACTGTCTTACACTTAAACCTAAGAATGAGTTATGCCTACTTGTGCCTTGTAATTTAACGTCTCAAGCACGTTTACCGACTAAAATCCCACTAAGTGAATATGTAACTCTATCTTTATGTAAATGTTTAACCAAATTTCTAATTTATGACTGGGAGGCCATGCGTGTGCCCGTAAAGGGTGATTTCACAACATCTATTACTAAACTATTTCATTGGACGGTCATCCATTAAGGACCCACTAATTCGAGGTTCGAGGGAATTCCCTGGCTGAATATTACACAAATTTTACGATCTTATTTTATAACACAATTAATAAAAATCCATTATTCCTATAATATTTTCCGTTATATTTAATTTAATTTTAGTTATACCTATTTTAGAAATAACGTATAATTTTACCTCAAAGTGTCTCTGTATCTAATTTAATAGGTGCTTGACAAAATTAATTCTGTTCCGTTTGAATCACGAACTAAATTACTCTGAAGTCCAGAATAAATGCTATATATTTATATCACGAGCAGACGTATTTGGCCATAAATAAATAAGTAAAATCAGTGAGAAAGTCGTTTCGATAAACTGGGTTCTCCCTTTCCTGCTAATGAACATGTCACCAGCAGAATGACTAGTGGTCTTCATTTCCTACAACCTGAAATACGTGCCTCCGACCGTTTTGTGGGCTATCCGCACCCCAGCGTCAATATACTGTTTGTTAAAATATCTCCGTGTTTGGATACAAAACAGACTTTTTTGTGATGAAAATAATTTTGATCAATGATCACGCAGCAATGTAAATCCAACAGCGATTAAATCTTTGCTGTGCTCGTTTCAAGGGGATTATATTCACTATTTTTCATATATTTTACACAGCTTTTTTCAATTTCAAATTATATAACGGTTGTTAATGTTAGGATTATGAATAGCCCTTATAAACAAAAATTGTATATCACCTACGGGTATATTAAAACTATCTACTTATTAATTCAAAATTATACTCCGGGTTTAAAACTGTTTGTTTAGGTAAAGGGCTGTTCAAACCAATTAAAATTCATTACTTACCGAGGATATTCATGAGTAATCAGAAAGAGCAGTTTGCATAATCTGGATAAAATTGGCAAATCTCTTCAAACCAGAAAATATTGAGTTATTTTTTGCTGGAATGAGCTTAATTGTAGTCATTAATCGTTTTATAAAAATATTATAAAACTATTTTTTTTGTTTCAGATTTCTTTATGTGACGATTATAGTATACCCGCAGATCATCTTGCCAAAAAACGACCAAATAGCATTGCAGTGCCTAATCTGCATTCAAATATTTTCAGCGACTGGCTTCTTTCAAGTCCCAACGAAGAAAAAGTAAGTGATTTATTCTCTATTAATAGATAATATTCTTCCTTGGGTAAAATTTAAAATATATTTAGCAAGAGTTTCCGCGCGAACACACCATCAGTTCTCCCCTGTAAAACTTTAACGATTTACATTGATTTAACTGCTGGGGATTAAACACGATTCCTTTCCTATGCTGGTCAAGTAGAAGCAATAAATATAGTTTAAGTTGTTAGGGTTGTTTCTTCCCCTAACGGATGCGAGTTTTCTTGCATGCTAAGAAATGCGCAATGTAAATAGTTAAACAGATCTGACCACCCTCATTTCTTTAACCGTTTTACAACGTAAGGGTACAACCCGGTTCAAAATTTCGAATGTGAACATGAGCATGGTAAATCGCGATGTAAAGTAGATGCTTTCTGAAGCAATTTATAATCTTAAACGGTGATTTGAAAATCGCGTGTTGCGAAATTTTAATTCAAATTTTCACCTTGTAGCGTCGGCATGCACCGAGTTGGAAATATGCAAATAATAATTCGAAGGGCAGACTACGTTTATCTTATATCTCTAAAAGTGTAGTGAACTTACCCTAGCATTTATAAAGATATCTAAGAAGGAAATTAAGATGGAATATTTATTAAGTTTCAGACATATCTTTTGTGTGCTTTGAATACCGCTTGAAATATTTAATTAATATAAGAAATAAACGTTTGTTTGAAAAATTAGATTTACAACTTAAGCTTTTTGTCTAGAATATTAAAGGGTTTTGTTCAAACTGACATACTATTCCGTTTACAAACAAAGCCCTGTCATAAACACCGACACTTTGTAATTGGATCTTCCTTAACTATGGCTTTCAAATTTCCTTCTGCTTCCATTTCTTTGTTTTCTCGTAAAAGGATCACGAGTGTGCTTTGAATACTATATTCCTTAAACCGTTTTTGCATTTTCCTCGCATACAAATTTAGTTACAATATTAATTAAAAGTAAATTAATCCAAATCAAATTAAACGAACTGGTTTTTGTAAACAACACTACCACTAGGTTTTTACGACCTAAAGGGAAATCTAATAAAATAATTTAGTACTTTCATACTTTCGAAAACAAACGACACCCCAAACGAAAATATATCCTTAAAAGCTTAAAAGCTGCCGGCCACAGTCAATATATTTAACGTGAGGGTACGAAATTCACCCCTTCACATGTCTTTGAACACATTGTGTGTAATGTGGCTCATGGCTTACTGTTTTAACTGAACAGATTTCCGAGTGAAATTAAATTAATTGTGTTTCTTTGATCTCCTCTTTTAATTAAAATCAACATTGCACCATATTTACGAGCCATTTATTACTTAAAAAATCCATTGGGATATGCTCATAAAAGGACACAATTTTAGGTTTATACTCTTCACCAATTAGTATCCTATAAATTTCAACTTTTAGAAGGGAAACAATACAGAATGTAACGTAAAGTTCTAATTTACTTTTAATAAATATAAAATAGAGGGGAATGATTCTAAACGAGTTTAATTAAATCAAATATTTGTTCACATAATGAACATGATTCGAAATAAACGCGTGGAATTGACAGATTAAACTGGTAACTGGATAAATATGCGTACATGGAAAACAGGTTACAAAATGCATACAATCATTAATAAAAGTGGTTTTATAAGCAGACATTTCGTGGAGCTCTCTAATTTTGTGGCTTGATTAAATCAATTACCGGTGTGTATTCTATGCTTTTATCCTGTGTCGGTAATGCTTTGACAATTTTTCACGAACTATCAAAGACCTTCAAAATGGTGTTGAGAGGATGAATAATGAGAAAATTTCATCAAAACCATTAAAAAGACAAAATTTTGGAAGTAAAGCGTGCCTTTATAGTTCCCAAGGGAAATCTGCCGCTTAATTAAAGTCAAGCTTTTAAGGTACTGAATATTATGTTTAATTCGGTATTCCTGAAAGACATTTCTTTACGGCGTTGATACCCTGGGGGGTTGTGTGAAAAAGGTTGAAAGCTACAATTAGAGTAATGATTCAAGTCTAAAAATCTATTTTTCATTAATCGTTCCTTTGTCTTTCTGTCAGTATACTTGAGGGATGCTTCAGGAAAGTTAGTTTACGTGAATATAAACATGAGTTCCTACTTGAATTGATTTCCCAATGGCAAGTGCAAGTAAATGGAAGAAAGATAAATAGTTACTTTAAGTAATTAATTTTAAAATCAAGTTAACTGAAAATATTTTAATTATTGACTATAATTAATAAAACGATTTTATTGGTTGTAAAAATGTCTTTTATTTTTTAGGTTGAAGTTTTGGACACATATTCAACGCCTAGAGACTCCAAACAACATCCTTATCCAGAGGATGATCAAAAATATTTAACTAGTCCAGATAAAGAATATTCTCAACCATACAGTACTGGTAAGTAATTAAATATTATTAAATATACATCACATTCAATGCAACTGGTAAAAAATTGTCTTATGAAAATAAGAAACCTTGATGTATCAACTCAACTGCATGTAAATTCATAATCCATATAGATCTAAAAAATACGATGGTTTCATGCACGTAACTGATTTCAGGCAGTAAACGGTTTTTAGCTTGAAGGCATTTCGTGAGATAAATTTTTGATGACATTCATTCTTTGTTGTGGGAATATTTATGGGGGCTATCGAAGTGACAAAAAGAAAATTGCAAAAAAAACTACAGATTCAAGACGTAGATTCCAATATAATTCAATTTGGGATAAAATATTTGCCGAGATATTTTTAGTTAGGTTAATCGACACGCCCTTCACTCCATAAATATTTGCATTTATTATTTTATGGTTACTTGGTAATTATGCTGATTAATAAAAAATAAAAAATAAAAAATTAATATTTAATAAAAAATGTTATACCTACGTTGATGTTATACGATAGACACGTCCGTGAAAAAGTGAATGCAATTCAGTTTATTTGCAATAAGCCAATAAACAAGTTTTAAAAATTAGCTGTGACTAAATTATTAGAGAAAATGTGTTATATGTGTAGATACATGCATACAGGCGTTAAGGTTTTTAAGTAAATTTTTGAAATGTAAACTAAAAAAATGGAAATAATATTTTATATTTGTTTACAAGTTTACACCATGCATTCATAAAAAAGCGGAATATTACTGCATGAAGTCGGAAAGCACGCTTTAGAAACCTGATTCCGGAAAGACAGAAAATAAATTAAAGAAAGTTTGGGAACTTTCTCAGATGAAAATTATTACTTCACTCTGCGGATGCGATATAAATTAGGGAGTGCTAACTTGCAAAGTTTCTTTGTGCTTTATATTACAAGAACCTACTAAAGGGTTGTAAGAAATTATTATTTATAATAACGTGCATTTGAATATCTTTAAAAATTCAATCTCGTTTCCTTAACGTCAACATGAGAGCACAATTACGCAGTATTAAATGAAATTCCCATGTACTTAACCAAACATTGAAAGCTCTCGAAAAATGTCGAATATTACTTTATAATTCGTTAAATTAGTTTAACGTCGTCAGGCTGATGGGGCCGTCCCCCAATCTCAAAAGTTATTACATCTTAAAGTACTTTACTCGAGAAGCGAGGATTCAGTCTAAATTGAGTGTGGAACTATTTGCAAAAAGTTTGCATTAAATTTCGAGATGGAAAGTTTTTTATTCCGTCATTTCTGCATGATGTGAATTGAATTTCGTTTTGATTAGACCATAAGGGCTACATAATGATGAACACTTAAATAGCACTTGGATATTTTTCTGCTAAAATTTTTATTTCTTTCATAATATAAGCTCCAGTAAAATATTCAGCAAGAATATCGGTTTTGAGAATAAACAACCGGAGCATGAAAATCAATGTCTAGTCATCCCTAAGTCTTAACATTCTTCTTTTCCTTTTTGAGATTCAAACCAATGAACAGCGCTCATGAATTTGCAATAATTCAAAGAAGACGTCTCTATTCGGCTCAACTCAACCACCAACAAAGTTATACAAACTTATAACTTACCAGGTATACAAAAGAAGCTCCTTTCCCCACATTAAAATATGCCATTAAACTTCTTAAAAGTTGGGATTCTTTTGTTTTTGACTGCAAAAGAAAAGTGGCCTCAGTAGAATGAAATCGTTGGAGAGGAGTTCTATACGAACTCCACCAGATCATAAAAAGGAATAAATCAAGTACAGAAAAATACCTCGCTGTTTTTTTCCTTTGTGCTTTTGCAGGATAATGGAATTATTGCGTCATCATCGACCAATCGGCAGTAGCGTCGATAAATCGATGTTGGCACAAATGAAACGTAACGTAAGCAGTAATAAAAAACCGCAGGAATATTATAAAATTCGTTAAAAAAGTACCTCTCGGTAACATAGACTACCTAACAAGCAGAGAGCCCCATTTAATTTAGGACGGCTGTACTGTTGAATGTAATACAACACACTGTTCGTATAATTGTGGGCCCTTTTAATGATTAAAGGCCCGACCCGAGGGACTTTCACTTAGGTTTATATGCATGCAGAGCAGTGCACGGCACTGAAACGATGTGGTAGCGCTGCGCCCTTAGGCCCAAGGCGTCATTTACACAAGCCATCCATCAGCCTAGGGATAAAACACAGTCGTATTTTTCATCCGTTTTTCTGCAAAGTTATTTTTCGCCCGCGCTAACGCCTATCGTGCCTCTGACTGCCGGTCATTATGTAGATTGATACGAAAACATGTACTTGATTGAAATGGTCGGCAGTTTGTTTGATTGTGATTGCACTTTTTTGCAGCAACCGATAAAGCATTCAACAGAAATAACATTTTGCACTTTTGCACCTTCCACTTAAATAAATCGAATCTTTATTTATTCCGATGCTTTATTTATTTATTCCGATTCGAAATTGAAATGCAAATCGGCGACTTTTAAGAGTGGCGTAAATATATCAAAACAATCATTATTTATCCGTCGAAATTAACGATTGGATTAATGTGCGCTAACGATAGGATTCGCCGAAACGAGCCACAGATTAAAGCGAGCTAATTTAGAAATCGTTCATTCGTCATGTTTTATCCCATTTCTCCATCGCCAAAATGAAATAATTTGTTTGGCTGACCACGTTTACACGCACCATGTGTGTAATATGGCTGTCGAAATACGTCCCCTAATCATCATTAAGATATAATTATACTGTAGTTAGTAGCAGGGTGATTTGTAGGATCACTTCACCAGTATAGATACAAAAATAAGAAATCAACCGATATTTAAACGTTTTGTTTTAATGTTATTTGTTGTTTATTCGTATTTTCAAAACGCACCACACTGTATGTTGCCTCGGAGGCAGGTTGTGTCTGGGAATGCCCGGAAAACTCAAAACCCTGAAAGGTCGAATTGATTGATAGGGGGCGGTAATTGCACCTACACGCTTCATTCCGAGTATGATAATTTCCGCTTCTACGGAAATTGACTAGTAGATGGATTATTAGGGAGGATAAACATGAGACACATTTGCGTTTGGTCTATCTCAACGCCGACAATTAATATGTTTTAAAACGAGTAGGTAAAAATACCAGAGGGAAAATTTGTCATCAATCTCTCTAAAATAAATTATCGGGGCATCAACATCCCTGATCTTAGCAGCTAATCGCTTCGAATTTTGATTAAAGGCCCTTTCCCGAGGCCGCTCGACAATTTGAGCTGCTCAGTCAAAGGAGAAAAAAAGGCAGAGTTCTCCTAATGAGATCTGTCATCGACGGAACTGGGATTACATTTCAAATATTTCATAAGGCACGAAGAAAAGGGAGAAGGTAGCACCCCCTTAATAAAATATTCACAGCGAATGTTTTCAAACTGATAAAGAATTAAAAGTCTAGTCATGAATTATTTTTGCCTCAGCAACTGAAATGAAATAATACCAATCTCGTTTGTTATGATGGAATGCCAATTCGACATGGAAAGCCTCTTATTTGAATGAATAAGTTATTTTTATCTTACTAATTGAGAATTTTTAAGCATATTGTTTAGTAACTTTCAAAAATAACCACCTATGGTCGTGCTGGGACAAGCATTTAATTTTGAAGTAGGTCTGCACTGTAGTGAAGTTAAACAGAAACAAAAAGGAAACGAAACCCACGTTTCATCCGAGATCCTTTCCCTCAACAAATTGTTACGAAAGTTTGTAGTGCATCTGTGAACATCTGACAACTGCTATTTCAGAGAGTATATCGTACTTTGTTGAAACGTGTTTGCTATCCGCACTTCCAGGATCTCTTTATGAACTGATGTTACACTTTACACCTCGACTGTAAAAATAATTTTTCTTCTTCGGTGTAAAGTTTCAACGTTTCCAACGTTGAACTAAAAGAACGTGTATAAGTAAGGAATAATTAGTAATAAAAAATAAACCGATTAAAATAGTCTCATGTTAAGTACTGGAAAGCTAGGAAACGGTTTCTAAAAACATGTTGCACTTTTCAGCCCTTCTGATTCATATTGTTTAGGGATGCAACTGAGGGGTTTTGAATATAATTAAAGAGGGGATGAAAATAACAATTTAGTGCTGTGGTCAAGGGTGAATCATTCTCCCAAATAACCCTTCTGCGTTGAAACAATTTCGATGTAGTGCCTAATAGAAATAAATACATTTCACTTCTGAGTATTTTATTATTTGTACATAAATTATATCAATTTGTACATAATGTCAATAAATTAGTCTTTAAAGAACCTCCTAATATTACTCAAATAATTAACATTTCGTTCTACCCTCGCTAAATTGATTAAACGTGATCCTGAGTAATAATAATGATGATGATGTTGATATGATGAAGTAATTAGTTAGTATACGGCAACATACTTTGGCGTAGTTCACAAGGGAACAGTTTCAATTTAAACATTTTCGTAAAGTTAGACGAGGTTATGCATACGAGTTTGGTGTGAAAAGTTTACATATTTACAAATCAAAGATGGTCAGTGATCGGAGGAAGTCGATTTTTTATTCAAAAGCGTGTGGGGTTGACTTGAAAGGGAATTTTGCGGGCGATAAAGAATTAAAAAGTCTAGTCATACTTTTTTTATTCATTTCTTTAGTAGGGTCCCTTTGAATGTGTTATTTCTTTCTCAAAAATATTCCACAAATCTAATCGGAAATTCAGATTAGTACGAGTATGTGAATCCCCTTTTAGGTACTGGATCTTTGGCAGCTCATGTGATATACATAATGGCTTTATACCCTATTTTTATAAAGCACAGTATATTTATGATAATATTTATAATTATTAAACGTAATTTAACGGAATATATACCATTTATTTCCAATTAGTTACCCCAATTCAAAGTTGCCGGTGCTTGTCCTCACTTGACGAGCAACTTATACTAATTGAGGGATTATTTTAGGCGCTTTCATTTGCATAATGTTCTTTTCCTCACGTTTTTCTGGAGTGCCTTCATATTTCTTAAACAGACACGGCCTTGTGCATTAGTTCATTTAAAAATTTCGTTTTATTTATATTATCTTTATTCTTGAATAATTTTCCTGGGCAGTTTAAAAAACTGTTAGCGAATTTACAACCAAATCGATAAGCAAAAAATAAATAACGATTAAAATTTATCAAACATTTTTAATTTATTATTACAGAGGTGAGTATTTTTGTCATCTAATTATTGTTTATTAAAAAATTTCTTCCTTATCCCAAATTTAATTTTTGTAAATTTTTCCTTAATACAACACTGTTCTGCCTAAATTCAGTGGAAATAAAGGTCCCAATTATTTCAAAAAGACTTCTATCCTAATATCTGAGTGATTTTATTTTCTCTTCTGATAAAAGTTGAAAATTTTTGCATCGAAAAGGAAAATTTTATTATGAATGCATAAGGAGTCGAACATCGAAGGGTGTCCTTTTATTAGTCAAATAACTTAGGGTTGGAATTTACAACGTTTCAATAGGAGAAAATTCTATTAGGATTACTACTTCGGTGTTTCCAATTATTCAGTTTTTTTAACTAATAATATAAATTTAATAAAATTCTCTTATAAAAAGTCGAGGTGTCTTATTTAGGTAAATATTTTTTACAGAATCATCAAGACCGACATCAGACGATGATTTCTTCTTGTGCGAACCTACAGGAAACGGCAATCAAAATATATTTGATTTGAATTCTCCTGATAGTATCAATGAGGGCATTATTTCATCACTAAATGTCCTTTCTCCTAACAAGGCAGAAGTAACTGTCAAAAGACACCCTTCGCCGTATTATTACGGTGATCTTTACAAATATAAAACGACTGAAAATCCTCCCCATTCGAAGGTTGAAATTAAGTCGAAGAAAAATCAAAGCCTACGGCCCGAACGCGAAAAAGAATCAAAATGCCAGAACATCAATAAAAAGACCAGGAGTAACAGGAAATTTCGTAAAAGCTCTAGTTTAGACAACCCTTATGAACAGAAAGAAACATCACAAACTCGACCGAAAGTCTCAGTAAAACATAAAAGTTCCAGTGTAGAAACGCAAAGCACTGATTCAAGGTAAGCTATTGTTCACAATTTATTTTTGTACGTGTAAATTTTAATGTAGATAATTATCTATTTAGTATTCGGTTCAAATATTTTTCAATATTTCCTCTTGGTTGTATCCTTCAGTCATTATAGAAATATCTAAGCGGTTTACGTACAAATCACTTTTAATCACTTCAATTTTTAGTAGATTGCTCGTACCCTACATTCCTTGGACCCTTGGGGCTTCTCTTTAGATTATCTTCTCACACTCCACTCGAGAGAAATTAAATATTGATTCTTTTTTGTATTATGGCAGAATTGAATTTTTTTTATAAAAGTAGTTAACTTGTTTTATAAATTATTTTTTATTATATGTAATAGAGATGCTCCAAATGGCAATTCGATGCCTCCAAATCCAGTAACTATAACTCCTTATGACGATTATGGATTAGACGACATGACTCGTCAACGTCATGTATACGAAACGGCTTTCGATTGTCGCATTAGTAAATCAGACGATGATTTGGACCAAATCGACAAAGTTAGCAATCATCCTGTTCTCATTCATGTGAACAAAACCTGGGAAAATCATCCAAGTACTGAATCTATCCTTGAAATTAGCAAAAGTCGAAAATTTAGAGGTAGAGATAAAGAATGTTGTTCCAAATCCAGCCAGGAAGACAATAATTCGGTGGCAGCACTTTCGCATAACATTCAGGTAAAATTAAATTTCTCTATATATGGCTTTTTGTGATTAAAATACTTAAATTACAGAATTTGCATCTAACCGGAACTGATGAAAACCATTCCGCCTCATCCAGCGGGCTTCCGTTACGAGGAAACACCCCATCACCACCGTCCACAGCTCCGTTACCAGCGAAATTCCACGGCAAAGAACACACTATGAATAGTATACGCAGTGCTCCTAATCTACCTTCCCATCCAAAATCACGTCACCTTCCTATTAAATCTCTAACCACGAGTAGTGATAGCCTTCAAGTACGTGAAGGCAGCGCATTCGAAATTGAGGTATCTAAATTAAATCACAAAATAACATTTTGTATTCTCTAATGCTTAATATTTCAGTTTGGATGCAGTTCCAATCAATTGATCTCGGAATTCAAAGGCAGGCCAGTGCACACCAAGGAAACAAATAAAGATAGAATTTACGAAATTAAGGGAAGGCCTCGAAAAGAGGTTATGCTTATAAACAAAAGATCTAAGGGTACCATATTAGAATTAAAAGGAAGAAGGATTCGACACAAGTATTCCAGCACTGAAAGTATGACAACAAGCAGCAGCGGCGGAAGTATGGAAAGCATAAAAAGTAGTACTAGTGAAGGCAATAGAAGCACATCTAGTTCAGAAAGTAGACAATCTCCATCGCTTAGTTCACACAGTTCTGATTCTGGTGGTGAGTTTAACTTGCATCTTCTTTGAATCAGACTTCTACATAATCGATTGCAGGAAATCCCAAGAACTATACCGTCCCCCAAAGCTCAGGAGGTTTCTTAGGCAACAAGCTCCACATCCTAAGCCCGATTTCAGATAAATCCTCGCAGGAACCCATGTCCGAGACATCGGATAACAACAGAAACAACAACTCACAGAAGTGCTCGCCGGAAGAAGTACAACCAACACCTGAAAATATTAAAACCAAACGGCGTGTACCTCAAAACAAAAACTTACTTAACTTGGGATTCCATACAACCAACCCAGAAATTCAAGGATCCGACAGTGGCATTTCTATCCAATCACGCGAGGTAAGTTACTTTTAATTACTTAATCAGCTGAATTCAAAAATCAGCACACAATTATTTTAGAAAGTATAGTAGATTTTTTAGTGTATATATAATATGAAACGAACTGTAAATTTACCTACCCAATAAAACATTATGATAATCTAACGAAAGGAAAATGAAATAAAGGGCATCAAGTCGAGATTCAGTTTCACGGGAGTGGAACTATCTGCACCCCCTAGCCAACAGGATTTTTCCGATCTGCCGTTCGACATGCCGAAATTGCGACGGCGACGAGCAGTCCCAGAGGCGGCTTGCACTTCAGGCAGCGCGACGTCGGTGGATTTGAGGGATTTACCCTTCGATATGCCCAAGTTGCGGAGAAGAATGAGATTGCAACCATCCAACTTGGAAGCGAGCGCGTCCCAGGCGTCCTCGAGTCAAAGCGTCGTGGAAGCCGATAGACAAGGTTTGTTAACCGTTTTATACGCCGATAATAAATCCAGTTTTTTTTTAAATGCCGTGCTTCAAAATAAATAAGAAATAGGGTGAATTTTCGACTGTTTAATTTGACAAGTAAAAAAACTGTGGATCATGCTGTGTTTTTTTCATTTCAAAAATTGTGTTAAAGATAGCTTTAGCAGGATTTTGAAGCAAATGTGGAAAAAGCCAAAGACTAATACCAATTTTTTTATTGTAAAACTCAAAATCTTTGTTTCTCGAATGACCATTCGAAACTTCACACTAACTCTTGCTATCTTTTAAATCTAACACATCCAAATTGCGACATGTAAAGTTGCGAACTATTATATCCTTTTTACTGAAATGCGAGGAAAAAACTCCATATTTTTCCTTATCTTTGAAATATATCGCACAGAAGCACAATCTATCACGTAGTTTACTTGGCGTTGCTCTGCCGTTTGGAAACATAGTTGAGTCATTGCCACCTTCACAAAGTTATCTGCTCCTTCAAGCGAAAATGTCAAACAAGATTGAACACGTTTTAATGCTGACGGCTTGTATTATAATTTGTAATCGATTTCTTATCACTGCGATTTGATTGAATTAGCGGATAACGGTTAATTAATTCGAATTGTGAGGGTGATATTAAAGTAGACAAATTGAAAATCGGACATTATGTACATATACAAACAACATACATACCTATGTATACATATGTATATTCTTTATTTCAACGATCACAAAATATGTTATTACAAACAAACATTACAAACTCAAAACTCAAAATTATTACATACTAATGTTATCTAATAAAAATATTAAGTTATTAACTCGAGTTGTTCGTGTGGTGTAACTTTATTTTTAATAGTTTTTGTGTAAAATTTAGCAACTTGGATAACAACTAATGCTACTAATAATATAGTAAAGGTTACGTAAAATCCATAAGTAACATGACAGCTCGTTTTAGTATTTTGAAAAACGGATCTTTCATTTTTACCCAAATTACTAGTGTTAAATTCAGAATTGAAATAATTATATAAACTCTTATTAAATTTGGAAATGGAATTTTCGTTGGTGTTCATTTCTATTAAAAGTTTAAAAAATTTACTTTTTTCAAAATCTTCATTAAAATATCGAACAAAATCAGACTTGTTTAAATTGCCCAAATTCTTCAGACCCTCCAAATATTTATAAAAGTTACTGTTTTTAAAATCTTTATTAAAATAATTGTACATAATGGTGCGTTCAAATTCGCTATCTTGTGTAGGTTTTAATTTTGAAAATATTAAATTTGTAAGGTTACTGACAAATTCTTGTGTAAATCTTGTATTAGAATCTTCGAATTCGTTACAAAATATGCCTTGAACATTAGAATCGTTACTTTCTGTGCCTTTAATTACCTTTTCGCCTAATTCTTTTACAATGTCAATCAAATCATTACAACAAAAATTATTTTTATCTAAATTTACTTCACGTAAGTCGAGATAGTATTTAAATTGTTTGAAATCTAAATTCATCAGATTATTGCTGTTAAGGTGTAGTTTTTTTAATTTTCTAAGAGAATATAAATATCTTTTTATTGAAGTTAGTTTATTGTAAGAAAGATCTAAATATTCTAATTCTGTTAAATAGTCAAATAAACCATAATTTAAATTTTGTAAATCATTGTGTGATAAATCTAAGTATCTTAGATATTTAAATCTTTGAAATAAATTAATTGGAATATAATTTAAATGATTATTTCGCATAATCAATTCCCTTAAAGTAATTAAGTCAGATACATTTTGTAAATTACTTGAATTAAGCATATTAAAACTGAGATCTAAATTTTGAATTATGTTAGAACAATTATTAACCAGAAGTTGTTTCATCTTATTTGAAGAAATGTTCAAAGATTCTAACACAGGAAAGCAAATATCGAAAACATCTAAATTGTTGTGAGATACATCTAAACTAATAATTCGATTTGCTGTTCTATTTAAAATACACTTAGATAAATTGTTAGTATTTATATTCAATTTTAGTATAGGATATTGCGAATGTATTAACACAATATCATCAAATTCAACCAGAGCATTTCTCGACAAATCAATTTCAACGAGATTGATTACCCCTGTTAAGAAGTTCGAATCCAAATGTTTTATTTTGTTTCCAGATAGATCTAATGTTCTTAATCCTATCAAGGAATTAAATACACCCTGAGTTATATCTGTTAAATTGTTATTAGATATATTTAATTTATATAGCACGTGTAGACCATTGAAACTTCCTGGATGTATTTTAGTAATAGAATTGTTAGATAAATCGAGATATCGAACCTTCGAAAAAATAATAAACGACGAAACGGGTAATTCAAAAATATTTGAACTTGATATTTTTAATTGGTCAATCCGATCTCTGTCAGTAATGCCTTCCACTGTATTATAATCTAAAGGAACTTGTACTGCAGTGCATATCACACTCCAATCGTTGTACCGGTCTGGAGAAGTACAAACTGAATTTGCTGTTACAAATAATGGTGCCATTAAAATAAAAAGAAACAGTCTGGAAAAAAAATATATATATATAAATATATACCGTGTTGGAAAATTTTTCGCGCATAATAGGGAAATCAATGTTAAATTCTTAGCCGGCTGAAATCCAATCTACCAGTGTACATTTCAATAGAACGTCGCGATCAATTCTAATAAATTTAATTGTTCTACTGGACTTCACACCGCGCTTTGGCTTGGTTAGATTAAAAATTAAATAATTTCGACGGTTTCAACACTTCGACAGTATCAAAACGGGTTCGGATGGGTGAACGTCAAGTCGATTACAAAGAATTGAGAATTTTTAAACGATAATTTATTGAAAAAATATCACTAATAATAAAATAGAATTACGTAGATATGTCTTTTTGCCACAATGGCTTGAAAAAGAAAGTAAATTCTAAGAAAATAATAAAAAGAATACTCCAAAAATAAACTTAAAGATTATTTTAAAATAGAAAATAAAAGAACTCTAAAAAATAGTCCACCGCTTTCTGCTAAACAATAGCCAAACCTGTCATACAGATGTCATCTCATATTACTGAGCTGAGGTGCAATTTTAAGAAAATTGAATTATTTTTTCCTTATTTTTCCTTATTTTAACAAGATTTGTTGCTATTTCAAAACTGTACCTACCGATACACACATTTTTTTGAAATATCCCCAAAAAACCTATTAATTGTAGTTTCTAAATAATTTTGTACCTCATACCTAACACAAATAACTTTGTACCTCTACAAATCGCGGAGTGCGGTCCAGTAGAACAATTAAATTTATTAGAATTGATCGCGACGTTCTATTGAAATGTATACTGGTAGATTGGATTTCAGCCGGCTAAGAATTTAACATTGATTTCCCTATTATGCGCGAAAAATTTTCTAACACTGTATAATAAATATAATATACAATACAATATACACCGTTGGAAAATTATTCGCGCATAATAGGGAAATCAATGTTAAATTGATAAAGCTCAATATATCTGTTATTGTAGAAGATATGAAAAAAACTTTATTACAAAAGTTGTAGATCTTTTTAAGCTGGATATTTTAAAATTAGTTACATTTATACAGAGTGCCCAGCTTTTCTGTAGTAGATCAAACTTATACTTTCTTAAATGGAACACCCTGTTTTTTATTTAAAAATTGAATTTAGCTCGTTTTCAGCTTTTCAAAAATATAATATTGTATTGTGTTACACCGAATGGTTTAAAAGTTAGGACCACTTTTCCTCGAAAATCCTACTAAGTTTACCACTCTGTAGAAACTAAATGGATTGACTTGAAAATAAATTTCAGCTTTGACAACATTGCAAATATACTGAAAATGTACAAAATAAATATTTTTCTTTAATTTTAATCATACTGCTCACAGGATGCATCCAAACGCAAAAGTAACATTTTCTCCGTTATTTTAAATGGATCACCCTATATTTTAAATCGTCACCAGAAAGTATTTTTGAAATATTTTCATTCTTATTAACCATTCCCTATACCTAAAGTTTATACTTTTCGAGATATTTCAATTAAAAAAAATCTAGAACGGAAAATTGAAGAAAAAAAAATGGAGGTTTCTTTTTAATCGAAGCACACGCTACAGAAAGAAGTAAGAAGCGCCAATTAAACACTATCTGGTATTATTTGTCTGCATTGCCCCTACAATTTGTAAAAATTACAATACAAAATGAATTTTTCTATTGAACAATTATTGATGGTTATGATTTTAGTATTTTCAGAAAGTTTAGAGAATTTGTTTACTTTGCCAAAAGGATTTGCCATGAGAGATATTAGAGGAGGAATACAATCTAACAAAAAATCCTTTGAAAAATGTCTAGATCGTTTCAATCATACGGCTTCCGCGGCATACGAAAAACCAGAATGTGAAAAAACTGTGAAGAAACTGAAAAAACGAACAAAATGTACCAAATTACTATTAATAATTGGTATTAGTATTTGTTATAAGTCGCAATGGACACATTTATTTTCAAGTCAATCCATTTAGTTTCTACAGAGTGGTAAACTTAGTAGGATTTTCGAGGAAAAGTTTTAAAATGGTTTAAAAGTTCGAGGAAAACTTTTAAACCATTCGGTGTAACACAATACAATATTATATTTTTGAAAAGCTGAAAACGAGCTAATTTAAATTTTTGAATAAAAAACAGGGTATTCCATTTAAAAAAGTTTAAGTTTGATCTACCACGGAAAAACGGGACACTCTGTATGAATGTAACTAATTTTAAAATATGCAGCTTAAAAAGATCTACAACTTTTGTAATGAAGTTTTTTTGATATCTTCTACAATAACAGATATATTGAGCTTTTCCATATAATGTGCCACCCTGTATAAGTAATTAATTCACTAGACTACAGAAAGTAAAGGAATTTTTTTAATTAAAAGCAAAAATTAATAACTGATAACATAAATCAATGTTTACGCCAAGAAGGGCATCCTAAAATTTTAACAAGATAATAGTTACAAAAGAATTGATGAAAAAATAGTATGAATGCATAATAATAATAGTTATTAACTTTTACAAATCACTGTACCTACATTAGTTTTAATATACAGGGTGTTTTTTATTAACATGCTAATACTGAAGGGGGTGTTTCTTGGACCCATTCTAAGAAAAAAATTTCATATGAACATATGTCCTAAACCTAAAATTTATTATCACCTAACAAGAAATTAAATTTGTTCTAAATTGAACGGGGCCTCCAAAAATATTTTTTATTTCAAGAGAAAGCAATGGCGTACCACTTATACCAACAAAAATATTTGGCCTGGGTCCAGTACAGACGCCACTGTTGGAAATAAAAAATGTTTTTTTAGGTAAAAAAATGGTCTTTAATGCGTAAACGCCGTACACCAAATTTCATAAAAATATTTAAAGTGGTATGGAAATGACAGTAAAAACTTGATTTTTTTCTTACAACTTTTTCTAACACCCTATATCAAAAAAGTTAATACGTTTAGGAAATAGGTTCATACGAAGTTTTTTTCCTAAAATGGGCCCAAGAATCACCTCCTTCAGCATTAGCATGTTATTAAAAAAGCTCCCTGTATTGAATAAATGTAAAACTGAATTTACCTGTGACTTAGATCCATATTTCTATTTCACAATAAAATTTAGCAAATAAAATGGCAAATAACGAGCGCTGAATAAATGGATAGTGTGCACAATAAATAGGCCGGATGAAAATTCACTGAACACCAATTGAACGAGATAACTACAATCTCCATTAGATTAGATGCTTTTATTTATTTTCGTTAAATAAATTCTGGGAAATTCAAAAGTTAATTATTTAATTAATTAAATTTAATTTTTATTTCAATATTTCAATATGATAAAATTTCAGTAAATGGTATGAACGTTTTCAATGAAAGGTCGTGAGTAATAATTATGCTCAAAATGCTAATTCGTCAAAAATAATTTTTGTCTATCTGCAAATTATAATGATATTACATTACATTTCAGTTTTGTGCCGTCCTAAGTTAACATTAAACCTAAGCGATATTGGAAACAGACAGAAACATGGATTTGGATTAACACTTTCGGGACTCGGATTAGCTTTAAATTCAAACGTGAACCAATTAGGCACCAGTTCAGATGCTATTGACATGTATCTACCGCTTGAAAAACAAGGGTATGCTTACACGAAGACATCCCTAGCTATTTCAACAATTTATTTTTTTAGCTGGTTCCATGGGCAAATAAGTAGAGTAGAAGCAGAAAACGTTTTACGAGTACTGAAAGAAGGCAGTTTTTTGGTTAGAAACAGCGAGTCTATCAAAAACGATTTTTCTTTATCTCTAAAGTAAGTAACCATGAAATTTTTGAAAAACTTTCATACAGAGTTGAAAAAAGTTTCCTGTCTGGATAAATTATTTATAGGAATATTGTTACCAACAATTTCTTTGTATGAATATGTATGAAATTCATGTAGCTTTTTTTAACTTAGTTACATATTTTTTCATACAAAATACAGAATTATAAACATTATTATACATTTGTACAGGAGCGCCAGAGGCTTCATGCATATGAGAATACAGAGAAATTCCGAAGATGGCAGTTTTGTTCTGGGTCAGTTTAGTAAACCTTTCAAGTCGATACCGGAGATGATAAAGCATTTTTCAATTAATCGTTTACCAATACGAGGAGCCGAGCATATGTGCTTGTTACAACCAGTTCTTGCACAACTTTTGTGATAAGGAATTGGCGATGCTGTTCCAAATATTTCAGGTTGCAATATAATATTTAAATAACACATAAAGAATGTTGACACAATACACCGATCTCTTACACAAAAATCATGTCTTGGAGAATGCATGAAAATCTGCATTGATAAAAGTAACAAACAAGTATTTTATTATACTACATGAATAAATGATAGTTACTCCATCTTCCCAATTTGTTATTTCGTTAAAACATGAGAAAAATCAAAACTAAAAATATCATTTCTTTCGTATTATACAGTGTTAAAAAACATTTTTTTCAAATCAAAAAATTAGTAATTTTAACAAAACCAAAATTTATTTTTTTCATGATTTTTATTTTAATTTTTGTGTAAGAGTAAAACACTGGCTTCCATATTTAGAATAAAGATGTTTATTCTGTTAATTTTTTACATGTTAATTATTTTTTTAACAATTCATATTTAATATGATGTAGTTAGTATTTCTCATACGAAATGTTTTTATATCTAGGTACCTAAATTATTAAACAGAACTATTATATTTCGCAATAATATATCGTGAATAATCAAGTGCAATATTTTCTAGCCTTCAATATTATCAATTAATATGACGATATATTTTAAATCCTTCTCTTAAAGTCCGTCTTCCAATTTGAATTTATTCTTTAACTATTATTTAACAACTTTTTATGAAATATTCATTAAATTGAACAAATGAGTAAAATTATCTAATCCAACTCAACAATTGCGTAACTAATTGATTAAATTATTGATTATGACTAATTGATTAAAAGAGTAATCTATTAATTTTTAATGACAATAAATATTTGATTTTTATATTTATTGGTAAGATTTACATATATTCAATTTATAAATATATCGTCTTATTACTTTTTAAATTGTTATAAATATTCTGAATATTTTTTGTTAAACTGTAAATGTTATTTGGTTATACATATGTTTTAGTGGTTCTTTTATTGTATTCTAGTATTGCCTTTGAAACTTATTTTGGTTTATAGGGCTTCATGAACATATTGCCAAAGAATATGACTGTGAATATTTATACATACCCCCTAAATATTATACTTTTCAAAGTTATAATTAGACAATGTAGAATTTAGATAAATGTAATTTATTATAGATTGAGAACAAAATTTTAAAAATTAATACGTTAAGAATTATTCAATGATTCCATCATCTTAAGGCTCATTCCCATTGTAATATAATTATATTTTTATTTTAACGAATTGAAATTGATATTCCTATCTGAATATAGAACCTATTAGTCTAAGAATATTGTCGAAAAATACATGCATTGCAAAAAATCTTTTAAAAATCTTTATATTCATTATAAAAATTCAAACGGCTCTTATGGCCATAGACGGCCCTTAATCAAAAAAATCTTTAGATAAACATTGTAGATCGAATAATGTTGCATATCTTTTATTTGAAACATTTTTTTGTAAAATCAATAGGTACCAAGTAATCGCCAATGGAGCACTTTAAATCCATATAGCGCAAAATGCCAGAGTGGTGAATGTGTGATATCTTCGGATTTATGATCACCCACCCACTCCCTACCATCCCTGAAAAGTTCGTTTGGGTGGGAGTTATTTTTTTGAAAATCGACAATATTCCTAGACTATATTAGTTTAGAAAATTTTGTGATTAATGTGTCAATAACGGACTGAATAAAAATTAAACAAAATCTGTTTTATTTCTTCCCTTCCTTTTTTACTGAAAGATATTTAAAAACCACTTAAATGGAATTAATACAACAATTTCTGACACATTAAAAATGATAACAGAAACTCCAATGTTAGTCATGAGATAAGCATCGGGAAATAAACATAATATTCAATAACGTAAATGCATTTTCGAGTACATTTTATTGACAACCTAAATAGCCACAAACTATTTACACTTAATACATATAAAAACAGTCTTAAAGTCTTAAAACATAATACTGTAACTAACATATAATGAAAACTGGTATAATAAAAAATAAATAAAATTCCATTATCACATTAAATATTCTGAGCGCGCGAATCCTTTTTCACACTTGACTACATGAATCCATTTTAGTGTATTTCTTCTCAGTTCTTTCAAAAAAATGCATTTTGCAAACATCAAAGCATGTTGTACCATATATAACGGCCCCAAAAAATAAAATGCCCACTATTATTATCGCTATAGTTTTGCCATTACTTGGTTCTTTGTAAAACGGTACTGAAAAAATATTTGAAATTTAATAAAATTTGATTCACACCTAACAACTAACTAAATTAATATATTCACAATCGACAAAATATATTTAGTTATGATGTAAAGCAAACAATAGATTAGATCATAAAGTGATAATGATCTGTGGTTGGTTTCACGCAAAAAAATTTAATTTTGAAAACCAAAATTTTTAGTTACATCAAAATATATATAAACAATGGTTTTGATAAGAACTGTTTAAACCCGGCCATATACTAAACAAACAATATTACAAGTTTACCATTGATCATACACTTTATAATCTACATTATTACAATATGTGTGTCCTATTTAATGTTATATTATGTATTAAATATATCATAAAATTAAGAGTGTCATTTGTTAAGCTCAGTCATTTATAATAGACACAACTTTATTCGTTATCCTAGCCTGTTCGTATTCCATTTATCATCTCATGTATGTAATTATTTTTTAAATATTATCACCTTAGTTATACTCCTTTGACCTGACTCATCCTCATCCTTTGCATTACAATAGCTTATTACATATGCTCAATTTTTCTCTTTGTGTGTTTATAATAGTGTTTACTGAACGAGATATATTTAACCACTTCTTTTTTTTGTTTAAAAAATGTATTCTAAAACACCTACATAATTATGAAATTTTCTATTTAACAAGTGCCATTGAAAAATTTGCAAATACAAAGTGTTACGATAATTTAAATGTAGGTCATGCATATAATTAAAATAGTTTTAACGAATCGAGTACCAATGATTGCACGAATTTGTCGTAATAACCTATACCCATAACTTACTTTTGTATATCCTGTTTATATAGACTTTTTAATTGCAATTTAATAAGAGTAAACTATGTATGTTGCAGTAACTGGATAAAAATCTACCTTAATTTCTTTGGAATAAAGTCCTTCAATTTAAAAGGAGATAATTCTTTTTTTCTGATAGTTACAGGCTCCAAAATGTTAAAATTGAACATACTGTTATTTTTTAAAAACTAGCATTAAGAGAAACATCGTTCAGGAACAAAACTTGATTCACGTTAAGTCTGAATGCATGATACACAGTTCCTGGGATATTCAAAGGAATAAGGGATTTTGAAGTAAAAAGAATCATACATTTAATAAAAAAATGAGACGATTAGGTACGATTATATGAAAGCATAGTTCGAGGAACGAGCTGTACATACATATATCTTAAAGTCAATGTCCATGCAAATAGAAGATAAGCAAAAAACATTGAAACGAAAACGTTTAACAATGTTTTTTAGTCATTTTCCAACGATTTTTGCTAAATTCATACAGCACCATTTTAGCACCTATACATTATACATTTACTATACGTACTACATGATCATGCTTGAATGTGATATAGCTCATTACTCATTACAAACTCTTTAAGAATGTTTACTTTATTTTTCATAAGGTATCAAATATCAATGATTAACTGTAATTTATCAATAATTTATTCTGTCTTAAGGAAATGTGATAAGATAAATTTTTGTTGTTTGGATCAAAAAGCTTATTGAGCAAAAATTTTAATGTAAATTGTACTCAATAATTACCAAACGCTGTTATTAAATGGAATTAAATATAAATTTGATATTTATGTAATCGGAAGTGGTTTTAAAATACCTAAAATGAAAATGTCAAGTAGAAAACCAACGAGTATCAAACAGGATAAAATTATTTTTTTTAATAGATGAATAAAATAAGTAAATGTTTTAAATTGTAGAACAAATGTATGTATATACTTATTTTATCCTAATTTTACTGCAAATGGTAAAGATGCATGTTACTCCATTTGAAATCACCCAGACTATATAATAATAAAATTTAATTATTGTGCTTCTTTCACACGTAAATTCTTTCAGTTATATTAATAAACAAATAAAATATAAATAGAAAAATCATAAATAATTCAACACTATAACTGAATATTTTTAAAAAATTACCGTTAGATTTCGCATTGTTATTGTCCACCCTCTTTTGCTGAGAACTCAATTGTAGAATTGAAATACCTTCAAAAATAAAAAAAATATATATCCCAAATTATCACAAACAAATAAATTAAGGAAATAGGTACATTTTTTACTTACCAATTAATAAAACTAACATGAATTTATTAACCATTTTTGTCAAAAAAATTCAATAACTAATACACGTATTCCATTTAAAATTAATCATCCAAAGCGCAAACTGTTGCTTCACAACTATCTCAAATTAATTCCTCCTCACTAGTAAAGCGAGTAAGCAGGCACGGTGATGTGATGAATGCAGTCAGCATTCCAAACACGTACTTACACTTGCACAAAAAAGAGGGGATATACCGTAGCCTCACCGTAACGTTCCATTCGTTTTGTTAATGGAAATCAAAGAAGGGTGAATAGAATATTAGAATATCTAATATTATACAGCTTTAAACAATAGTACTTATAACGCACATGGGCAGTGACTAGATAGTGTTCAGCCAGCCCATAATTGTAGATTATAACATTTATAGGTACTAATTTCTAATATATTTTTTCTCGTATTCACTGTTCCTTTATATCGAAGTATGTATAATAGATTTCTTAGGGACGTTCTTTGGATTTGTTTATACTTAACAATCGATGTGAGATCAATCGGACTATCAAAAGGTTATATGAAGATATAAAATGATATACTGCATCTAAACGAGTAGACATTTTATAAAGGTCCACCAAAATTCCTATTACATCGTAAGGAGGAGAAGACATAAATTAATGTTACTCTATTATAGATGCTGGTATAATGGATATTTCAATATTACCACTAGGAGCATTGGATATTTTTAAATAAGTTGATGAACCCACCTGTTGATTTCCTATAAAATTCTTGGTATTTGACATGTACACATGTAGAAATAAAAAAATCCTTCTATCACCAAGAGTACACCATTAACTTTGTGTTTATAACTATGAGAAGGAAATATTATTTTAAATTTTAGTAATAATTAGTTATTTATATTTTATCACTGTCACTGTCACTGTCACTAAAATACAAATCCCGTGCAACTAGTTTAAAAAATGTAATTAAAACAACAAATTATGACTTCTAAATCCTAAATATTTGTTAATTATTACATTTTTTAAAACAATACATATAGAATTAAGATTACATAAAACCTACACTTTTTCAAAATTCCCGCAATTCAAAAGCTGATTCTTCTATTTTCTTAAAAAATAAAATAGAAGACGAAATTTATAGGTTAGTTTCGTTGTCGCTGTCATACAAAGTGTCACAGATATCAGTTATCATCTCGTTATCATTACAAAGGTCAAATAAAACGTTGTATAACACATTTATAGTTATAATTACTATAACAGACACACTTTATTTGTCGCAATTAAACGAAGCAGCAGCACAAATTTCGCATAATGGCACCTCTCGCTGCACAAAAAAGGGATCCCTATGCTGAAGCGAATGAAGTAGCAGAAGGAATAAAAGCGGTTCTACTGGGCCCTCCAGGATCCGGCAAAGGAACACAAGTAATTTTGTTAATTGAATATTTACATTTGCATATGGTAATTAATCCATTTTTTCAGGCACCCCTGTTAAAGGAAAAATATTGCGTATGCCACCTCTCCACGGGTGATATGCTTCGGGCTGAAATTAATTCCGGCTCCCCCCTTGGAGCCAAAGTTAAAAAAGTCATTGACGAAGGTAAACTTGTCAGTGACGATTTGGTTGTTAATATGATCGACAAAAACTTGGATAAACCTGAATGTCGCAATGGGTTCCTCCTCGATGGTTTCCCAAGGACTGTGGTACAGGCAGAAAAGGTACATCCAATTTATTTTGAATTACGAGGAAATACTTATAACCACTTGTTATTTTAGTTGGATGACCTACTTGATAAACGCAATACCCAGCTTGATGCAGTAATTGAATTTGGCATTGATGACAGTTTACTTGTTAAGCGAATTACTGGTCGTTTAATCCACTCTTCTAGCGGGAGAACATATCATGAAGAATTTAATCCTCCGAAGAAGCCTATGATTGATGACGTTACTGGAGAGCCTTTAATAAGAAGATCCGATGATAATGTCGAAGCTCTGAAGAAACGTTTATTAACATATCATTCACAAACTAAGCCTCTTGTTGATTATTATCAAATTAGAGGCCTTCACCATCGTGTTGATGCTGCTCAAGCTGCGCATAAAGTGTTTAGTAACATAGATTCTATTTTCCAACAAAATAGATTGAAAAGAGCTGCTCGACTTTAAAAAAATATGTATTATATACACATCTAGTAAATCTGCATTTGTAATATCTTCTAATAATGCGTTCTATATTTTTGTATCTATCTTCTTGTATTTTTGTATAGATTCTTTCAAAAAATAGTTGATTTATATTCTCCAAATTTTCAAAGTTGTTTGTTTTCAATAAAATTGACCTGTCAATTGTTTTTAATCTTTTCCTATCGAAAAGGTAACATTGATAGCATTCTAAAGATAAATTTTTATCATACAAGTCAATAATTCAAATAATTTTAATTATTTATGACTAGATAAGGGATTGACTGCATGGATAAAAATAACGTTTCAATATTATTGTTGAAATGAAACATTCTTAACCAATCAAAAATGTGCATTTTATTAAAATACCTATAGGTATGTGCCTAAATGTAAAATTAATTTAGAGATCACTGTGAATGGACGGATATATAAAATAAAAAAATATTATTTTTCGTTTTTAGCCTGACAGAGCGGGCAAACGAGTTGAGACGACATCTTTTTTTCCAAAGCAGGATGCTTACAGCTTTTGCAAAACCACATTGGGTTCCCTACAATAGATCTTCCAGTAGCCACACAGGTAGGAAAGTGTATTTTACAATGAGAACACTGAGTACTCCTAAAACAATTTTATAAGCCGGTCACATCGAAATTCCTTGACACTTGAATACAAATGAATAACTCACCAATCAGGAATGTTTGCACTACAATTATCGCATTTCATTGATGAGTTTGTTTGGTTGATAGGCTCGTTGTTTCTAAAAATATCCCACGCCAACTCGTTGAAACGAATTTTTTCTGTATCTGAAATCTAAAAAAACCATGTTTGAGAAGCAAACAAGCAAAAAATCAATAACCTTCGAACCGTAATTTAAAGAACAAAGGCTTACTCTAATAGCAAATTGGTGTACTTACGCTTTCTAAATCATTTATTTTCATTAATGCTACAGAACATACACCAAAGCATCGATCAATGCATGCAACCAATGCCAAAAGACAGTAAATATCAATATCGGGAATATATTCAGAATAATCCTGCAATTTATAAGCAACGCAAAGAGCTTGGTGTTGTTTTCCACTATATATAAATCTTTGAGCTAGCATTAAGTAATGATAAGCTTCTGCGCCTTTCCATGCATTTTCGATTAATAAAGTATTCGAGGATTCCCAATCTCCTTAAAAAACAAATTAAAGAAATAAAAGGTAATATAAATTAGTATATAAGTTACCTGAGGCTGTTGGTTTTTTACAAAGTTCAGTTAGTTTTGCGAAGTACACATAGTGCTTCTTAATTTTTAATAGATTTTTGTTAGGTTTCTGAACTTCTGTCTCTGCCAACTGAAAATATGAAGAACTCAGTTTGCAATTAATTTTTTTAACCATGAATGTACCTTTAAAGCACTTTCCGCTGCTTGAAAATAACACTTCGCTTGTATATTAACTTGGATTGCGTTCATAATTTGGCCCTGTTCGATTAAGTGATTAGTGTACTTCATCAATAATTCAGAAATTTTAGTAATATTGTATGTTTTCGCCAAGTCTATAGCTACATCCCATCTGTTGTATTCAATACACAAATTTATAGCAGATTTCATTTTTCCAACTTTTATGTACGCCTTCACCGCTTCAGTATGAACTGCACTCGAAGCAAACATATCCCCTATTACCTCTAAAAGAGGGTCGCCTTCAGGGAGAATGTCTATCATAGATTCCAAACTTTTCCAATCTTCTAGATGATAGTAACATTCAATCGTTTTAGCTGTATTTTTAGCTAACTCGTAATATTCAATAGCCGAAGCCCTATAGAAAATAAAATTAGATAAATTACTGACATTAGTAATACTTTTATCAAACGTACCAGTTATTAAAATGCGCAAAATAATCTGCTGTTGAATTATAGGCTGTTTGCAACAAAGAATCCGGAGCAGTAACACCGTTTTTCAATATCTGAATTACTCTAAACCAATCTCCTAAAGTTTGACGCAATTTTAGCGCAAGATCACTAAAATTAAATATAAACATCCTTTATATTTAACCGATCAGTGCCCAATTTCTGGTGACACAATATAAAGTGCATATAAATTACCTTCTATCAGCTTCTATGTAAATTTTTTCTGCTTCGTCGAAATTCTTAAAATATGTAGCTATTCTAGCTTTTCGAATAGCCTCGCTGTTGATATCTCCCAGTTTTTTTACAAACAAGACTTTGGAGTAATCTTTGGATCTAACAAAGCAAGCTTCGGCCATAGGTAAATTCATTTGTTTTAAAGCAGCCTCGGCAACAAGTCTCCTATAAATCAATCGCTATAAAAATTAGGTGTTTGTAGTTTTATTTAGGCATACCATAATCTAGGATGCCTGTTGTCTTCGACAAACTGGCAGGCTTCATTTATGCCAACTTTTTCCAGCAATTGTCTTGTATCCCTGAGACTCTTTACATCTATTTTAATTATATGATCCTTGTCAGGTTTCTCGGGGTTCTCCATTACTTCGTCCAATAATACTGCTTTAATTTCCAAGTCCTACATTAAAAAAAAATCACAAAAAATCAACGATTATTATTATTTTTACTTACATTGAAACTACATAGATAACCGGAACAAGCTACAGGCTCCTCAGGGTAAATCCCTTTGAAAATATACATTCTAGTTTTTTCCATGACAGCAAGTAACTGTGGGTTATCTGAGGCCCAGCACATCGCCCAAACATCTTTCCTTTCTAATTTAGTACCGTCGCCTCCTGTTGTTGGGCGACCTATTCCTTCAGAAATATCAATTACTGACATAACACCCGATATATCAATAACTGATAAACGTCTAAAAATTTGAACATAAGTGAAATAATCAGTTACGTGTAACATTTCTACTTACGTAGAGTTTGAATTGATGGCCATTTTATGTGGTCTTGTACTAATTTTATATCTATTGGTTAATACTATATGAGGTAAAGCATAGTACTGTATAAGACCCGAATCCCTTCCTATAACTAAGCACTTATCTGTTGCCACTAAGCACCATATGGGATCTATAGTTTCATGCGTACTAACAGGTATTGTATTAGTGCCTTCCAATTCTTGGATTATTTCTACTGCTCCAGAAGGATTATCATCCACGTGAAACATTTTTATCCTGGTACTGCCAACTGAAAGTTTGAGCATCTCCTTTAAACACTGACTTCATAGAAATGACTATTTTAAATACCTGTTATGGATTTGGGTGTTTTATAATGCCAAACTATAAAATTGTTCTTTGATGCAGCAAATACCTGGTACGAATTCATCGCTACACTAATAGGCTCAATATTTATGTACTTTCCTGAAAAATAAAGATAAATTTAAAGTTTACCTTACTTCATTTTCAACTAACCATCAACAGGAGTTCCTAATGTATTATACAATATTAGACCATATTTTCCCAAATTTTCTTCATTTTCAGATTTTATTGCAACAATACAGTAATCTCCATAACCAGCGATAGCTAATAGAACCGAAACCCATCTAGTGTGACACTAAAACGAATTAAATAAATCACATCACAATGTATTGAATATTTTTTTTGGTTAAATCGTATACACAATGTGTTACTTACTTGATTGTTGGTAGTATCCCAGAAAGAAAGACTTACTCCAGCTTTATGTGGTCTGCAAGAACTAAAAACTACTGTTTTCTTAAAATAGCACCATTTGTAGTCGGGACGTATATTAGCAAAATAAACGAACGAATCTACAGCAAGGGCGACTCTTAAAGATCCACCTTCCCATACACAACAAGATATTGAATTTCCAGGAACTTTCAACGTTCTTAAATGCTAAAAAAAATCAATCAATTTATATGTATGTACATAGTATTGTTTTTAATGGAAATTATGCAATCATTTCTCCCACAACTTGTTAATACCTAATATTTAAACAAAAATATATAGTGTTATTTCCTTTGACTCAACTGTTTGATTTATTATTAACTACTTTTAAGGTGCAATATACAGTTTCTATTTACTTCTCCAAACGGGTTGTAAAATTGTACAAGATTCACTTGCTTCTCTTCGGCAAATTGTCTTCCGCAAATAGCTAAAAGTGATCCATTATGATTCCATGAACAATGAACCGCAAACATTCTTGTATCAATAACAATTGGATCTGCAATTAACAAATTAATAAAAATAAATAAGCATAAAAATTACTGAAATAAAAAAGCGTACTTGTGTCACTTTCATTCCTCATGAGCTGAGTTTTTCCATTTTCAAATGTAATAGCCAAATTGGGACTCAATGCATACATATTTCCATTTATACCATTATACCAATCTAAACCAACTATAGGTATTACATCGAAGCTGGCATCGTGGCATACTATATTTAATTTCATCTAAAAAATAGAAGAGTTATTTGTTTATATTTCACAATAAATAAGAAAACCTACAACAAAATTTCCTTGGTTGTCATATAAGTGCAGCTGGCCACTTTTTAGGCTGAATAATAAAAATTTACTATCGGGTGACCATTGTACCCCTGCTAGTTGAACTTGCTTTAATTCCTTTCCCCATATTCTGTTACCGCTAACACAACCAACAATGACAGCACCATCTTCGTAAATAATACAAATTTTTAAACCATCGACATTCCAAGCCATACCGACTACAGTTGATTTCTTTCTATTATTTATCATTTCCTCGTACCAGGCACCCTGAAATAATTTTTACAATTAGATAATAGTGAAAAATGATGCATATGAGTTACCTTATACAACATCCAAACTATTATCACACCATTTTCGTCACTAGTGGTTAACTTCTTATGTGATTCATTCCATACCAATACTTGTATGTTTTCCGAATGACCCTCTAGTGCTTGGTTCATCGACAAGTTACTAGTTGCTGCCAAGCCACGATTCTTGATAATTCCTTCATTTTCATTGGCTGTAAATAAAAATTATTCATTTAAAATATTATAACAAAATAATGCATCCACCTGAATCTAATTTTAAAACTTTTAATAGTCCATTTTCTCCTCCAACAGCAATGTATCCATCTAATTTGTTCCACGCAATGGCGTTAATCTTAGTATTGTTTGGAATAGCGATCTGTAAATTCAAAGGAAATATAACGATGAACAATATTAATAAATTCAAAATACCTTTTTGCTCAAATAAATAAACATTTTACTAATTTTTTAAAACTAACTGTAATTTGTTTTGAATCATGACACTTCTTGTTGCTATGACAATAGTACGTATCGGTTGGTTGGAGTAACAAACGAACGTCCATATCAATGATTAATAAAAGCCAAATTTGGTTTTAAAATGAGAAAAGTAAGAAACTATTACAATATGAATAAAGTGGCATTATAATATTTGTATTCCTGTCTAATTCATTTAATTAAAACAAATATACAAGTGAAACGATTGTGCACTCATAATCATGGAATGACAAGAGAGTTACGAATTAAACGGATATTAGTGACGTGTGACGTATTGTCAATTGTCATCTTGTCAAAGTCTGTCGTTTATCATTTTTTTAAATTCGTAACGGATATCGGACATTTGGATTTTGTTGTTTTCAGTTAGTTTGTGTTATGTAAAAAAGTATATTTAAACAATTACCGTTTCGTTTAATTTGATTTAAATATTGCTAAAATGGTAAGTAGTATTAGTTTTTAATAGATATGCTACAACACGAGCATATTGGTTAGTTGAATAGCTTGTACCCAAAAAAATATTCCGAAAAAAATTCCACAAGGCAAACCTAATGGAAACAAAACGTGACAAATAGTTTTTTGGAACACTATTGAGATATTAAGGATATCCATGGTAATACATTGCTACATATTTGTCTAGTTACAATAGAATTTGTTTAAGAAAACATGTGGCCATAACAAAAAAAATACTTAATTAACTTAATACAACTTAATTTCAATGTAGGATTTCAGAAAATAAAAGAACTACATTTATTAGTACATTGAGGAATTTTTTAAATTACGCGCAATATTTTCAAATTTAATTTTAGTCAGGATTACATCCAATAGTAGAAGATGTGGTATATATAGAATTATTATTGCGCCTGTAAAATTTTGTTTGAAATGTTCAGTGTATTGTCTATATGTGAGACCGTTGAGCTCTGAAAATTTTATGGGAAAACCAACTTAAAATGTGAAAAAAAATGTTTAGACAGACACATCCTGACAATTCAATCTTGGGATATATTTAGTTTTGTTTTCTCAATTTCTCATACGTGAACCAAGCTAAGAAAATCCTTCGAATCAATTTTCTTTTATGGAAGATGAACTTTTTTACAAATATTGTTAAAAAATATATAAACAAGGTAGGATAATGTTGAAAACTAAACTTACTTTTTGTATTATTCAATTAATCGGTAGAATGTATGAGTTAATATTGGCTATAGATAACAAAAATATGTTTCATTGTCTACGTGTATTATTAATACTCTAATAATTTTCTTATTCCTGTTGCCATTTCGCCATTTGGGCGATTATTTTTAATTTACGCCGTCCTTGAATTTTTGGCAATGCGAATTACTTTTGAATATAAAAATATTTTCCAACTCCCACAGCTGTAGTCAAACAAAAATAGACTTAATCATTGTTATGGTATAAATTATTAAAAGTCTTTTTTCAAGAGTAACAGAAAACTAACTCTTGCCTGTTACACATGATTGCCTTCTTCTCATTAGTCATTGTATTTTTTACCCTTTGATTAACCAAGTAGTATTATGATTGTTCTGTTTTATACATGCACTTCGTATCTTCTTTACTTCCAATGTTATTTGATTTATTAAAGTTGTTTTTAATCCGTTTTTCTTGTTAGATATATTTCCCTTTGCCTAACAAGTTCACTATTATAATTTTGATATATTTTATTACATTTATTAATTTAAAATAAAGTACCTACTGTCTTTAACTTATTCAAATAATTATTTTATTAATTATTTAATAGTTATATAATTCATGTTTATTTTTTCAGAGCGATATGAATTCTACAATTATGTCAAATGGTAAGCTTACACTTTTGTTATTAGTGTTGTTACCTATTTATTAATAATTTTCAATTCTATTACATTGGATGATGTTACTCTATTACACAATATTTTATGAATTGCAACGTTGACAATAATGACGTTGACAATATTGACATTGACTGACGTTCCTTCTTGGCAACACTGGATGAATTATGACAGTGACGTATACATTTATATCCTAATAAGGCTTACTAATTAATTTTTACTGCGGATTGAAACGCCCAATAAAACAGATGGTATTATTGTAATATGTAATTCATAAAATAATTATGAATTAACATCTTATGTTTTAAGAAATTATTAAATTTTTGTTGAACAGCTAGTGCGTGATATTATCATGTATGTAATAAATTGAATTTACTTATATACTACATTATCAATTTGTTTATGAAGAATTAATATTAATGTTTTTGTAGATGCAGCTAATAAGAACGAAACTGATTTCAAAACTAAAGTCGAGTATCAGAATATTCCTTCACATGAATCATCAGAAAAAATAATCTATAATTCAGGAGAAATCAGTGATATCAATAGTTATTTATCATCTGACTTAATATGCTTGGACCAATCAGTTAGGCAAAGCCTTGGACACAACGTAAATCGCGAATCTATTTCAAGTATCTGTGACTTTAACAACACATTCAATTTCAATTCTGTTCAAACATCAACAATACCTTCCAACACGAAAGTTGATACAGCAGATCTGTTGTCAATTACTGGAATTGGTTCAAGATTGTCTTTGCCAAATAATCCTGATTCTATAGAAAACTCTATCAATGGTTCAACTGATCCAGAATTTTATTTGGCCGAAGAAAATAACACTTTTGAATATAGAGGAAAAGAAAATGGAATAAACGAAACGTTCGGGGAAAGTGAATATTCTTCTGATATAACTAAAGAAAACATTACTTTCGATAAAACCTTAGATTCTTCAACAGAGTATGATTCTGTAGTGGAGCCTACGTCAGAAAATTCTCCAAGAGATCCCACAGCAATATCTCCAGAAAATACAACAATTATTAAAGATTGCTCTTTGGATTTATCAGATGAGAAGAGAAAATATCATTCAATTACAGAATCTGTTGATACGCCTTTAAAAGTACAAGGCCAAAACGAAATTATCGAACAGCCTTTAATAAAAAAATCTCCTGAATCTCCTTTAAGAGAAATAAAGAGTGAAGAAACAAGGCCATCACCTGTCTTAGAAAACAACAGCAAAGAACCGAGCGCAGAACCTGCTGCAGAAGTAAATTTAGTATCTAGTAGTTCACCTGCTCCAGAAATAAAGTGTAACGAACCAAGTGCATCGCCTGTCTCACAACTAGAGATTAAAGAGCGTAGTGAATCGCCTGTCTTGGAAATAAATACCAAAGAGTCAAATCCAGAAGAAAAGGAAGCTGAGCAAAAATCATTCACTGTAGAATTTGATTCAACTCAAGATGAAGTCAATGTGTCACCATCGGATGCAACTTTCGTAGAGGAAAACAAAGAAATTCCAGGAGACAATATTGCGGCTAATAAAACTATAGATATTGACCAACCAGATATTGCGCCAAACAGTGACCTAGAAGCGCCAGAAGAATTATCAAATAATATTAAGGTATAATTATTAAGTAAAGCTGGCTCATTGGTGTTAAATAGTCTTATTTTTCTTTGTTTTAGATGACTGATTCACTGGAGAGATTAAATCAACAGCAACATGAAATAGCTGATTTGAAGCTGAAGCTGAACCAAGCTCAGCAACATAACGCATCTTTACAGCTGCAAATTCGACAAAACGAAGAAATTATCATAAAAACACAAGCGGAAGCGCTAAAGACCGAACAAAATTATCAACAAGAAGTTAAGCAACTTAAAGAAAAGTTAAACGAAAATTCGAAATTAATAGAAAAAGACAGGATTCACGAATTGGAAGAGCAACTGAAGGAATACAAAGCTAAGGAAATGAAACTTTTGTCAGAGATATCACAAAAAACTAAGGATGATGTAAATTATCAGTAAGATTCTTGTTAATTTTTATTTCTATTCATTAATGTTACGTTTTTTGTAGAAAAATTACCGAGCAGTATGAAAAGAATATAAATGATAGAATTGATGAGAACAAAAAATTACAAGAAGAATGCGATACCACTAAGACCCATTTGGCCAATTTGGAACTCGCTTTTTCTGATGTTCATTCGTAAGTATTTATGCTATATGCTTTTGGTTTTATAATTTTTATAATGATACCTTTTTTCTGGAAAATAATTGTTATAATCATTTGTTCCGCAGGAAATACGAGAAAACTAAAGCTACTTTGCAAGCTACCAAGGCCAATGAAGAAGCACTTCAAGCAAATTTGGAAGATGCACAAACAACTAATATCCAACATGAAGAAAGATATGAATCCCTGAAGGCCCATGCTAGAAGTCAAATAGAAAAGTAAGCTGTTAATCATAATATAATTCGTTTTTGGAATAATTTTTTTCAGATAGAAACTAATAACTTTTTATTTATAGGTCAAATAAAGAGATTCATAGTCTAAAAGAGCACCATGAAATTGAAGTTAATAAGTTAAAAGCATTTATCCGAAGATTGGAAATAAAATTAAGTTCTTTAGAACTCTCCCTTCAACAGAAAACGGAGGAGTGCGAGCAACTTTCGGCTCTTTGTGATGAAGTGACTGGCAAAAATGTGTCATCATAAACTTTGTACAATTGCGACATTTTATTATTGATGATATTGGATCAACATATTCAGTATATTTATTACATTAACGAAATTGTATACAGTAGACCTTCTAATTGCGATCGCTTCAATCCTAATAGAAAATCTATCGATAACTTCCATGTACATGAAAATGATCATTAGACATTCAAATAATTAGAATAAAAAAAAGCTTGAATTATTCTAAATGTATCTAATCTGATTTTTAGTAAACAAAATTTTACCACTTTCAAACTATATATTTCTTAAGAAGTTATGTGTGATACAAGAAAAAATCTGTCCTTTAATGTATTTTTGATAATGAACAGTCGGCACAGTATGTGATATGTGTTCTTTAAAAGATTGAAACACTGGGTTTGATAAGATCACTAACTTAGTAGATAATTTGAGATTCGTTTACATTAAAAAATTTATAACGAAAGGCTAGACTCCTTGACATACGTTTATTTATTTAGTGAACCTAATACCAACTTACCTATTTGTTTTATTTGGTTTGTTTTGAATTATACAAAAAATGTAAGCACTCTGGAAGTGCATTTAATTTTTCAATGTGTATTATAAAATGCTGTTTAACAATAAACTAGTTGAATTGTGGTACAGCTTTGTTGTCTAATGTAAAAAAATGTTACTTACTAGTTCACATACGCATTTTTTATTTTTTTACTATTTTAAATGCTCATTTACTTGAGTTTATTTATTTATATTTTTTGTACGAATTGTTAAGTGACTTGAACTAATTCTCTCTTAGTAACATTAATGTTAAAATAAATAATCTTTACTTTTAAAATTATTTTTTAGAGTATCCCTAACGAAATTTAATCCATTTTATGCGTTAAGTTGCAAAACTACCATATACCATATCATATAGCTTCAAAAAATATTTATCTCGTTAATATTTAAAAATAAATTAAGCAATAAAATTAGGGGATTTACCATATTATATTTACCAAGTTGACTCAAAAATTGTGTTCCTAGTTAATTTGCTACGTTCTACAGAAATATTTCTTCACCAAAACTACGATATATTCTGTGAAATTTTGAATGGTTCTTACTGAATTTTAGCAGGATGCTGAATGAATGAATCATTATGGGCAATATCGAGTTATTAGGAATTTCTCAGTAGCTGGTTCAAGTTTTATGCACTCTTTTCTTTATAAAACGCTTGACCTTCTGATGTTTGTTTGGTTTGACCATGGCGGGGAAACTAGCATTATATTTATTAAACAACTAGAGGCAAGTTGATTATGGTAAAAATCGCCGAGATTTTACTATCTATTGCTAAATAATATCAGTGCGAACATCAGCCAAACTACATCTAAATTCGGAATAGCGTGGCACATTTGTGTCCCAGATTTAGTGAACATTGTGAAATATGAATTTTTGGATATGTCTTGTCTGTCTGGTCTTTTTGCACAACGTCGTTGCGCAAAGTAAGTTTAAAAAATCGTTATTATTCATTTTTAAAATAAAATATCTGCCGAAAGATCAATAGTTTTTTTGTATCTTTCAAATTAATTTTATCAATTTTAATACGTATTTACTTTTGCAATTGATTTTCTGTAGTTATAACTGCAAATATACGATATTTTGCATTTCTGCAGTTTATTGATTTAATTCGATCTTATTAGCACAGTTTTGAATACGGCTTCTTATGCAATATTTCAAGTAAGGCCTTTTAAAAGGAGGAATTAATGATTTTAGGATTTTTTTTTATTTCGAAAAGAAATTTGGATGTTGGTTTGGTGAAATTCTAGGCGGCATTATTATTTTTGGAACAGAATCCCATTAGCAAAAACCTTGTAAAATTTTATTATAATTGATTTCGAATTTAAATCTAGAAGAATTATTTAAATATTTACACACTTAAGAAATACATATCTATTAAGCGACACATAAATTAAAATCATTCAATTTTCTACGTCAATCTCTTACGGATGTTACTATAAGATTTGAATTTTATATTTCAATAGTCTACTTAAAAATAAGGTGTAAAAACATAATTAACACCTTTAAACACTGTAAAAACCCCCAATAAATCTTCGATTTACAACGTCAAAGAATGTTTGTTATTCAAATCCGTCTCAATTATCATTCCAGTTGCCCATGATTTTCACGATTTTCCGTATATCCAGCATTTTTCATTAGTGAGTATTGTGGAAATCAGATTCTACATATATCGATTTCAATTTTCAGTAAACTCTTCCATTTTCATCTATATCCATTTTAAGTAGATTTTTCGAATCGAAATCATGACATTAATCTGAGAGAAGGTCAAGTTTTTCTACATGTTTAGCAACATATTTAAGGTTTATTTATGCACAAATCACTTTCATAACCATATACATATTACATTCGATGCTTTTCATCACAGAACTTTTGCCAAAAAAAATTAATAGTTTTCCTATGGGCAAAAAAATCTTTAAAGCAAGCAGTGAAAGCACTTTTTCAGAGCACGTTTGATCCTAGATATATCAATTTCCATGATTTTACAAAGAAAAAAAATATTCGATTAAATCGAGAAAATATTTTAAACAGTTATAATGTAAATTTCTTATTTATATTAATCTATGTATGTTTTAATTAATATAGTTAGAATCTTAATTTTGAAAAAATGATAGATTTTGAATTGATATGGCAATTTTTCACCTTGCATTGTTAATTTTCTGAAACTATAAACAATTTTGCAGTAAATTAAGTATTCGTAATGCAAAAAAACCTACATAATGAATTTGTACATGCATCGTTGTTTGCTCGCAATTGTTATTACCTGCAATATGAATTACATTTGAATAATTAAGCCATTTTTATTAAATTCACAATATCACCATTTCCGTGCCTATAAATAAAATAATAAACTAAAATTATACTGCTAAGGCATAAATATGATTTTAACCATATTCAAATTTCATAACTTATTTATATTGGAAATGGACTTTTATTACTTGCATTTATAGAAATAATATTAAACAAAAGTGCCTACGCATTGGAATAAATTGCTTAATCGCAAAATTTATAAACAATAATTACATGATTTAAGCGGTATTAATAGTTTCCTTTCTAAATACATTGTAAAGAAGAGAAGTAAAAATGATTTTTTTTTTTATTTTTATAATTTAATTCATAACTTAAATCATTTTATCGCCATGTTTAAAATTTACAGTTAGTGAAAAACCTACTTTGTTGTTGGCATTGAGCTAATTTCATTTATCACACTCTAGTGATTTTTATATTAAAATTAAATTGTTTTGATATCTTCTTGCGAATTATTCGTCACACACTGTTCAACTCTCTGTGTGGATTTTTTTTATTATTGGCTCCTACAAACGGATGCATAGAAAATTTCCAGTTAATTATAAATAATAAGCACTTTTAATGAATTTTCCTTAGCTATAATACGCTATTGCAGCATTAGCTACCTAAGCTGTGTTGGATTTGAATTATAAGCAGGCAAAGGTCCTGAATATTCATTGCAAATAAAAATGTCACTTCGCAGTAAAGAAATGCATATTAATGAACAAACCACAAACGTAGATACACGCACAATTATTGTAATTTACCTACTTACTCTGATTTACCTAAGATCCTGGTTATTATTCTCAATAAACTTAGATGGATTTATCTTTTTTATTCAATTCTCCTATTAGTTTTGGCCCATTGTAGGTAACAAGGATATTATTTCTGCGGAGATTATTTCAGCTAATTCAGGTAATTTGTTTTAGTACCTGAAGGAACGCCATGTTACACCTCCCGAAACGAATATGGCTTATGTATAAACATAAGAAATTGCGAATTCATGATCCGATTACTAAGGACTAGAAGTCGGGATGCGGATACAGTGAAATATCTAAGAGCGTCCACGTGCGGCTACGACGGTAATTTACCGATGGTTTGCTGTCCACAAGATGCCTCACTTAACGATCTCAACAGCAATGAGGGCTTGGAAGAACGGGCGAAAAAGAATAAAGGCGATACTGAAAATGCTGGAGATGCACAATTAAATGGACCTCAATGTGGAATCAGCAATACAACTAACTACAGGGTTGTTGGTGGGGTACCAGCTAAGTTAAGTAAGTTAATGAGAGCTCTTTAGGGATGTTTAGTGTAAATATTGTTTTCAGATGAAGTCCCCTTTATTGCTATACTGGGTTACAGGAACCAGAAAAATCCCAATACGCCTAAATGGCTCTGCGGAGGTTCTTTGATAACTTACAGACATGTTCTAACTGCTGCACATTGCGTTAATAATAGGAATGACTTGTAAGTGTTACTTCTAATACAACAGTACAAGCTTTCAATGAATTCTGATAATTTTTATAATAGGTATGTTGTTCGCCTTGGAGATCTTAATTTATTTGACGATAACGATGGTGCTTTTCCCGAGAACATCGAAATCTCGCATTCCAAAGTTCATGAAAATTATAGCCCTGTAAATTACACCAATGATATCGCTATTGTGACGCTACAAAGGAGACCAAAAAATCGTAAGTCTACAATCTTAAGCACCTCGTCAACTCGAAATCATAAATTCTTCGTTGCAGCAAATGTCTGGCCTGTATGCATTCCCAACCAACAACCTTTAATCAGCAACAATTTCGTTAAATATCAAGCCATGGTTGCAGGATGGGGAGCACTTTATTTCAGTAAGTACCTACAGCGTTGCCAATATCAATCACTAAACCATAACATTGTGTTTATTGCAGATGGGCCTTCGAGTGCAACGCTCCAGTTAGCTCAAATACCTGTAGTCGATCAGGGAAAGTGCATAACTGCATTTGCTAATAAAGCTGTGATTGACGACAGGATTATTTGCGCGGGCAGAGCAGATGGCAAGCAGGACGCTTGCCAAGGCGATTCAGGCGGGCCGCTTTTCTGGGGAACCATTAGCGGAGAAGTCATTCGTTATTATCAAATTGGTGTAGTTTCATATGGTTTTCGTTGCGCTGAAGTTGGATATCCTGGTGTCTACACCAGAGTAACGAAATTCATTAATTGGATAGAAAACAATATTAAATAGTAATAATTAGTATAAATACGTGCAAATATATGATCTTAGTACTTTAATTTTGTCTTTGAATAATGAACCTGAGCCTTCCGGAGCTTAAGAGAAGTTTAAGGAGAATCCCTAGCATTAGAATTTACCTAAACTTACTAGATAAGCAAAAAAGTAACACGACAAAAGTAGAAAAATTTTCTATTTATTACAAGAAACCTTCTCTATTTGACGCTAAATTTAAAATAATGGAATACTATTCTACTATTGCATTAATATACAAATTCGTGAGGTTCCTAAAGAAGTATAAAAATGTGTTTAAATACAACATTAATTATTTGATTCGACAATAATAGTAATATACCACGAAAATGTTCACTAATACAGAAATAATTCGTTTTTCCAGATATACAAAATATTCCGATAAAAGCCACTCAAACTCTAATAGCATTCCAAACGTTTGATGGATTAAATATTTCATACATATGAGAAGATTCCTACACATGTAAGAATTCCACTCAATTTAAGCGTGTTCAAATAGAGTTTGTTTTTATTAAATAAGAAAAAATTACCGGTAATTGAAACATATTAAATTTAAAACGTACATTAATAATTGTTATACGGGATAGAGTTTACAGTGTAGATGGATACCATTTAAAATCAAATAATTGAAAGCAAAACGTAACCTGTTCAACAGGCAATATTTTCTCTATCCTGTATAAACTGTTTGAATTTTCAGTTTGACTACAAAATTCACATATGCGATAAAAAACACGAACATTCTAGAAAACAATCATTAAATAGATCATTGTAAAAATAATCCACACACATTTTTTTTCAAAATAAGATTTTACTTTACTTGGTGTTACGACCTTATAGATTATGAATGTTACCCGACCAATAAACACTTTAAACGAAAACGATACTCTTGCAAAATACACATTTTGGACTTAGGTATTGTGCCAGATTTTTTTAAAAACTAAAGGCAAAAACTGTACAGGTTGTATTTTATCTACAGCCATTGAAATGGATCGAAAAAGGATGAATAAAGAATGAATCACATTTCGTAGAGAAGCTAAAAAATATGAATTTTAAAAATCTTGGCACAAAAATAATTTTGTCATAATGTTAATTCTGTCGAATAATCGGTTTAAACTTAAATAAGAAAATTTTCAAAATGTAATAGTTCTGAAATAGTTTTATCGAAAAATGATGCATTTTCCCGCCCTAAATTACTTCAGATAAATATTACTTAATAATTAGCACGACTGAAAACAATGCTTTACAAAATTGTAGGTACTTTAAGTAACTAATGGCAGTTAGAACGTTAATTTTCTTCTTCCTCGTTTCCTGAATCATCATTAGAATCATCCGAATCTGACTGATCACTCGTTTCATCCTGAAAAAAAATTATTGATTATTTATGCCTGAATTTCAAGAGATTAAAGACATTACCTCATCTTCATCTTCCTGTGAAACATTTTGATTCTGTTTTTTTCTGGAATTAGAAAAACTCTCCAATTCTTCTTTCGTCATACTCTTCAAAAATTTCTCGAAATCTAATATATACGCCTTTTTCTTCTGGGTAAGTTCATCTTCGTAATTTTTCCTTTCATCTGCTGACAGAGCTTTCCATGCTTTAGCTACAGACTCGTCGCCTTTATATAAAGATGCAAAGTACTTTAAGGGCGAACTAAAAATATAATAGATTTAGTTTTAAGTAAATTAACAACATCACAATACTTACATAGGGGGTTGTTCTGGTTCGATTAATTTTTTCGGTTTTTTCTCAACCTTTTTTAAGGCATTATTTACTTTGTTATTAACTGCTTTTTTATTTTCTGAATTAGTATCAGCTTTTTTCTTCAGTGGTTTTCCCGCCTTAGTTTTCTTGTCTTTCTCTTCCGACTTGGTACGCTTTGATTTAGTTTTGGCAATTTCTAATTGTCTCTCTTCTTCCGGCAAAGATTCAAGATACGCGGAATATTCTTTATTATATTTTTCTATGGCCTGCAAAGAACTCACTTTGTAAATCAACGGGAATCATTTCAACGGCGCAATTGATTACCTGATCGAATAATTCCTTATAATGTTTCTTATCTTCCTCAGTGCACTCTTTCCATTGATTCGACACGTAAACCAGCCGCTCCTTCACTGGAATATTTTTAATATCGGAATTAACCTCGGGATTCAAGATCAATCTAGCAAACAGATTGTAAGCTGACACTGGAGGTTTTGGCGGTTTGCCCGAAAGCCGCTCCTTAACAAGAAGCTCTTCTTTCGTTAATTGTGGTTTGTTAGTAGCTGTATGTACATAATCAGGATGGTTCTTAATATACTCCTTTAGTTCTTCCTAATAATAGAAATAGTGATTTGAAATGAAGTAAGATAAACATGTGTTTGATTTAACGTACCTCGTACTTCAATGTTTCGGCCTCGGAGTAGCTAATCCATTCGATTTTCTTATCATCGGGCATTTGCTTCCACCTTTCTTTGCATAATTCTTTGAATGCGCCTTTATCATCGACTTGTTCTTTGGAAGCTTCGGATAAGTGGTAGTATTGAAAAGCGTTTAGGGGGCGTTTGGGCACTTTTTCTTTCGGGAGTTTGGGGGGTTTTTCGACCACAGGTTTCGGGGATTTTGGTAGCTTAGGCGGTCTTTTAGATTTCAATTCCTTTTCTGCTTTGCATTCGGGATGAGTGTCACTGAAAAATTTGATTTAAACATCTTTTATTTATAGCAGTTTATACTTACTAGAACTCCTTCATTTTTTGTTCATACTCCTCCTTGTTTTTGTTGGCAATTTTTTCATATTTCATTCTATTTTCTGGCGGCAATAGTTTAAACTTTTGGCTGCACATCTTCGCAAGTTCCGTCTATAAAATAAATGTTATTAAAAATATGTTTCGAAGAGCAGAATAAATCACTTACAGCATCTAAACCTGGATGTTCGGCTTGTAACGAATCTTTCTTTTTTAGATAGTAGATGAAATAAGCAGATAAAGGCCTTCTCGGCATGTCGGGATGTCGATTTTTTGCTTTTTTACTCTTTGTTCTCGGCGCTACAATCCATTCTTTGGCATCTTGGATGACTTCTTTTAATATTCTATACCTCCTGACTTTCTTTAAAACTAAATTCCAAGTTTTCTTACAATCTTCGGACGAGTAGTTTTTAAAAGCAATCTACAAATAGTTTAAATTAAGAATATTAATGACATGGAGTATTAAAATTCCCTACTTTGTCCCATTCTAGAGCTTCGACTCGTTTCATATAAGGTTTCAAATCGTTTTCTGGAAGATATGTTTCCATTCGATCCATTAACTCTATTAAATCACCGTTGGGCCAATCAATGCCTGCTCTCGTTTCTAGAAAAAATAGTATATTTTAGTTATTATTAAGCAAGAGGGTTAACAATAAAAAACTGTTTACCTTTAGGGGGATCTTTCTTTTCTACTTTCCTTTCTAACTGTTTAAGGAGATCATTTTCATCCCAATCGGAATCTAATCCGTCTTCTTTAATAGATATTGTCACAACGTTCTCGTCGTCTTCATCGACTTTTTCGCCTTTAATATCGACGATATTGACTTCATGGGTTAAAATCACTTTGGAACTATTAACAACAGGTTCTTCCAATTCCTCTGCTGTTAATTTTGAACTTTTTGTGCCTCTTTTGGAAGGCTTCACAGTAGAAACGTTTTCATTGCTTTCTTGATCATCGGCTTTAGATTTTTTCTTCTTCTTGCCCTTTTTAGACACTGCACCGTTGTCTACATTAGTCCCTTCAGCTTCTATTTCATTACCGATGTGCCCGTTTTTTTGTTCATTTTTAGTAGATTGTACATTCTCGATGTTCTCATTCGATAAAACTAATTCAGTGTTATCGTTACCTGAAAATTTATTCTTTTTAGTTTTTTTAGATGGCACTTCATCGGGATCCTCGGTTTCGACGTTCTTCCTCTTTATAGGTTTGTTTTCATAGTCCAGGTTTTCGTTTGTTGACTCTATTTTTTTCTTTTTCGTTTTTCTTAGTCCATCATCGTTTCCATCAATACCTGCATTCCTTTTGTACTTTTTGGAGTTCATAGTGGAATTAATAATTATACAATTTTCTTATGCTAGTTCAACATTATTTTTAATTAAAATCGTTGAGAATTTCTATAATTACATGTATAAACAATTCTATGAATTCATACTGACTGGATAGTTCATTCAAACCACACGTTCTGCTACACAAACGTTTAATGTTTATCACAAAATAATTACTTTTTTGAGTCCAAAGAAATAATCAAATTTATAAGTTTATTTCTAATATTGCAAAACAAAAAATAAGCATCCAAACAAAATGGGTTCGGAAATGTCAATGTCAAGTCAATTGTCATAGCTTACAATCAGGTGACCAACTTTATAACTGCTAAAAAACAAGAACATTTTTATAATAGGGATATTTTACTTGATTAAACTATGTTCAGTTGGCAACAATGAATTTGTCTTCTTTCTATAACGGCCCCATCCACTAAGCAAGTAAGTCCCTTTTTTTTTCTAAGAAAACATGGTTGAAAGTTAGTGTTCTGTGTGAAATGTCAAAAGTAAATAATTTTCTAAGCGTGTATTTCTTCCCTTGATTACTAGAGGGCACAACAAAATTGATTTGAATTTTGAATTTACAATACAATACAATAATTTATTATTACAATTAATCAATATATTATAATATTGATTTGGTTTAGAAGTAGTTATTATAAGAGGTTTTTTGGGAATTAGGGTTGTATATAAAACAAAAGTGAAAAATAAAAATAAACAAAAAACAAAAATTTAAAAATTAAAATTTAATTAATGATTACCCTGATAAGATTTTTATTGATTAAAAAATGTTGGTGATAAATTCTTAGCAAGAGGGTATGGTTCAATTGTGATAAAACAAATAAGGATGATTAATTTTAAATTGTTTTCTACTTTGTTTTAGGATAATCTGTTGATCCTAATAAATTTATTTCGAAAATTAAAAATTACTAAATCTAATTGAACGAATATTTTTATATTTGTACGTAAACAGATCATTCCGAACAGTCAGACAAAAACAAAAAGTTGAGACACCTCAAAAACACGTAAGTTTCCCCACTTTTTCAAACAATTTTCTGTTCAGCAGCACATTGCGCATTTCGTCGTGAACTCAATTGGTTTGCCCGTCGTGCGGCTTTGATTTTGATGACTCTTACATTTTAAATACGGTGGTTAATAATAGTAACTCTTTGTTTTGAAGTGAAGTGCACAAAAACAAACGGAACTTCGTGAATTAGAACCCATGAAAATAATGCAAATATGTCGCAATGTTGCAAAGGATGACGAATAGAAACAATTCGTTCTAACCCCAAATTTGTAGTGCCGGTTTCGAAGCTGTCAGATCGTAGTGGAGTATCAGCTGATTGTAGTTTTGTTTACATGCTAATATGCAAGCTTAATCCATCCTGGGGCGTCCCAAAGACATTGCTTTACGTATAATAGTGAACGATGTCAGTTTGTAAACAAGAAAAAATGGTTTTCGACTCGCATTAATTTTAAGGTTATACTATTTTTGCGTTGATAAATAAGATCAAAATGTTGTGTTTAAAGAAAGTGTACAGGGATGAGCTGCTACAATTGGCTCTCCTGCTCAGCATTCTGCGAGTCAATAACGACTCCTTTTACGATAATATTTACAACAATCTGGATTTTGACAACGGCACAAGCTGGAGAAGTATTACACCTGCTTTTCTTCGATCTCAATATGTTAGCCCGAAAAGCTTGGATTCCGTGTTGCTGAATTATCAAAGGGATTTGTTTGCCGATTTGAATTCGCTGGGAAGATTCAACGGAGGCAATTTTAGACACCCTGATGTCACGACTTATTTGCTCAACATCGACCGAACTGCACCGACATCCAATAATGCAGATTCCTTACCAGTGGCCAATGCTCCAGGATCTCAAAACCAATCTGAAGGCACTGTAAACCAAGAAGAAGCTAATTCCTTAGACTTTGGTATCAGCCTGTCACAAGAGGTATGTGCTATTCATTTACACAAAATTTTACACACTTTACGCAGATATTGCAAGATACGAGCCATTTATACTACATATTCTATAACTTTTATAGACCTTCTGCACGCTTGTTTGTTATTAGATAAAAGGCTATATTCAACATTTATAATGTAAATAATAGAATTATACTTTTAAGTGATATCAGTGAGGCTTAAGTACTAATTAATTCCTTTGGTTTACAACTTGTACATAACTTTTTATGGTAAAGTAAAAGTGAATCATCGCGCTTTATAGAAAGTCTTATTCAATACCATAACAGAAACTGTATCCATTGACATGTGTTGTCTGTCCTCAATTTTAACAGTTTTTGTAGAATGGTTAGTTTTTAATTTTTACTGCAACAGAATATAACCCAAAAATCACTGTGAAATGACCATTAACTTATTTATAGCAAAAAGTAATTCCTAAATTAGTAAGTTTTTCAATGAAATGCACTTTTAACTCAACAATAGTTGAATATGTAGAAAATCAAACCGAACTATACTAGGTACACCACCTTGAATGATATTTTAGCCTTGACATAGTACAATTAAATACTAGTTTTTTATTATACTTAGTATAAACTGTTTTTATAATGTACTTACTGGTAATTAAGTTAAATACATGCTTTTAAGATTTTTTAAATTAAGACTTATTTAAAATTTAGTAATGCTAAAACAATCGATCCCAATTAGATAAAACTTATTTCCTATTTAGTAGACGAAATGTTTGCATAAGGAATATGCATTACTTAAGATTAGAACTATTGTTCTTGACATTTCTATAAATTCTCCCTATAGATGTATTTAACTCAATATTCACGGGCAATCGAATTTTCAGCATTTGAAATGTTTTTGTCTTTTTTAGAGTATTTTTAGAGTATTTTCACCGGTCTTTTATATCTCTTTTCTCTTGTGATGTTTATTGATTATAATTTCAAGCGGAGTATTATAAATTTATAAAGAGTTGCCATTAATACAAATGTTTCGTGCAGAGATACATTTATTTGTCATTTCAGTAATGTTTAGCTTAGTAAAAAATTTAAAAAATTTAATTTGACCATGAATGAATTATTTATATGGCGATTATTTTGATATGCAATTATCTATTATTATTTTCTATATTTGGGTAAGTTCTATGTTAGGTTTTTTTTCTATGAAATAAGTACCTATTATGGTATTGAAGGCATCTAAAGGTTATATTTTTGCGTGGGGACCGTATTGCCTCGACCTCGAGATCAAAAACATTTAACGAGGTCGTTTCCACGAAAATTTTGGCAAAGCTCTGTTTTCGTTTCGGATTTTGGTATACTTTGAAATCAATTGAAAAAAAGTTGTTTTCTTCAAAACAACTCCCTCTTGGAAAAACTTGCATTCTAACCAACAATATTTTTACATTATTTATTATATTTATTTTTGATATGAAAAATTGCGTATTGCGTGGATGTTACTTGGCTTTATAGGGGGTCAGCAAACTTAAATTAGAAGACTAAAACCTGTTTTTATTAAATCAATTAAATACTATTCGAGAATCCTATTTTGTTAATTCCAATGGATTCGCAAATTTTTGCATATAATCTAATATTTTTGTCTTAATGAAGAGTAACATTAACCTACACTCAATTTATGAATAATTAGTTTGCTAATAAACCATTTTGAATAAAATTGGTAATTGTTATTCCTATATTTCACTTGAAATGAGATCAGCGCACATTTTGAATTATGGAATATGCACTTTATTTATAAATTGTTTGTAGATTTTGGAAGATTTTCTTAAATTTAGAACACTTGTCAGTGGACACGAAATATATGTATGTTGAGTTTTGGGGTATTTTGAAACAAGGTTAATATGTTTGGATTCTTAATAATGGATCCATAATTTCAATAATAAATAAAGATGATGATGCTTCAGATATTTAACGACAAAGTGAAAGAACAAAGACATTAAAAACTCTTTGTTGTGAAAATTTGAATTCTAATGTTTTAAATTTTTTGATTCTATCATTAAATCTTAATATTCAAAATTTTATTATTTTTCCCCTTATGCGACAGAGATGGAGGGAGATTTGAGCATTTTTGAGTGACATATTTTGTATCGATTTTTATCAACTCATAACACGTATCGTTTTTTATACAGTACTATTTAGCAAAGTGCGTTAATGTGTAATTGTTTAAGTGTCTAAAATTTTATCATATTTCTAAAAGTATGTACATATATTATCGACCTTGTTTGAAATGAATACAAACGAGAGGAGTAGATATCTAATTAAGATCGAAAGATACAGTACAAAAATAGTTTTTGATAGCATATCCCACATAGTTTAAGAGAATTAGTTCAGCAATATCTTTATGAAACCAATAAAATGATTTCGGTGAAATTACAAAAACTCACATAAAGAGCGCGATTGGAAAAGGTAAGTAATACATATAATAAACGAGGGCCAATAAAAGAATTGGGACGATAAAATTTAGTAAGTCAATTTTAAAAGTTTAATAAGTTAAAAAAAGTTTTCGTTGAATACGAATATTTGTAACATTATAACGCAAATTAGTATTTTAATGTAGGTAAATTTGCGTGCTCTAGTACGTCCATTTTCCAAACTAATTTCAAGTTAATGAGTAGTAAACGTGTACTTATTTACCAAAATAAAAATATATTTTAATGTAAACTAAGTAAACAATTTTGACGTAATTATAGTACCTACAATTGTTAACTAGTAATGTTTATTTATCTAAGGGCAAGGACATTTATAATATGTGTAAGGGTCACTAACAGAAAAGAAAACATGAATACGAATAATTATCAAAGTAACATTTTAATTAAAATTGAACAATTAGCACATGTATGTAAGATACAAATTTCCTTTAAATTCAAATCGACCTGCTAAGTAAACCGTTTTAAGAGTATACATAGTTGAATATTAAATTGAGCAATATTTTCGACACACTTTAGTAACCAACAAAAATTTAATGAACAATCATAGGTAATTTGAATTACTAATGAACACAAAAATACACTGGCTTTTTGGGGTAAATTGGGGTTATTTTGCTTCTACTGTGGATACTTTGCTCCAAATTTATCTCGGATGCTATTTTCTACGCTATCTACAGTATTATGCAGCAGGATATAATTTCGTGGAAAGTATCCCCAATATTAAAGCAAAGTAACCCCACTATACGTACCGTAAATATCTTCGTATCATCTTATTTTCGTGCGTTTTGCTTTCTTTTTTAGCTTTGTTCGAAATTTTCTATTTTTATCCCGGTTCGAGCGTTCTGCTTTTGTGAAAAGTCGTACGCTTTGGTCTAGCCGTTTGAAATGTGTTTCCATGACCTACAGGTTAGTTTCAATGACGTCCAAATTTAAAAACAAAGGATTTTATTTTATAAAACATTGGTTGGTCTAAATACGTATAAAGGATACCGATATTTTGTGTTCTTAGTGGATATATGGGGTCACCCAATGCATTTTACTCCGTCTGCTAACGAAAGTAGTCTAATTATATTTAGAAATAACGCAAGAGAAATGTGTTGGCAAACACAATATTTAAAATTTACTTTCTTATTTTTACTACGAACAATTTTGCGAATTATGTTTTTTATTATATCTAATGATACAAAAAAATAAATGTGTTGTTTTCGTTATTTGTTAAAAATAGTTTCAAAACAAAAAGAAAATGTTCTTGGGATTTTGATAAAATACATATGACAAACAATTTTATTAGATATGCACAATAATACTTTGTTTTCATTATTCAGTAGGCATGTAATATCTTATCAATTTGTGTTCGTGTATTCTTTTAATTTTACCGCCACATTTACATATTCTGAATTGTCTAGTTTTGACCTCACCAGTAGGCAAAGACAATACTATTGTATAAAGAAAACTGTCCCAAATGTTTACTGTGAACTAAATGCAAAGAGTATAATTGACTAACAATAAGTCTTGTAGCACAAAATTTATTGTATCAAGAATAACGAACAAACTGCATTGACAGAACTTGCAGAAAATTACTAAATTATATTTTTTTATTCATTAAGTATTTTTATATTCTATTTATGTAAAATGTATTCATGTATAATAGATACTAGGCTGATAGGTAAGTAAACAATATAGAATATTTTAAAATAAAGTGTAGATAATGTTGGAAAGTAATCAAAAAACGACTTTCAAGTAGCTTTTATGTAGCTGTGCAATTATGTTAATGTACAAAATGAACAATCCGTATAACCCAAATTTTATCTGTGTAATAAATATTTATTTATTGTAATTCCTGATGAAGAAGTTTCTAGAATATTCGTAAAATCCAGAATTCAAGAGTAACTTATACATAGGCAATCCAAATAACACCGATCGACTGATCTAAACTCGGTGAATTGAAATTTCCGCACTTTGAACAGGCTATGATTAATTTTAGAAAATACATACATATGTGTGTATATTATGTACATACACATACATATGTACATACACAAATTCTTTTTAATAACGTAAGTATGATGTTGATGCAAAATTGTGCAATCAATTAATATTTTCCTTTAATTTGATTTCAAAATATTTGGCTTATCTGTAGATACTTATCGAATCTTGTACATACATATATTTAATTTTCTGTAATTTATCCCCTGTGTGCGTTTATGCAGATTAACAACTGAGAATTTAGAAGTAATTCACATCGTTTATTAATTGGCTTTCTCGATAAAAATAACATTTTGTTCATGATAAGGTTCTTTTGATAATTAGCGTGCATAAACAACTTTAAATTTATAGCAGAATATTTTGAAATTGCTTCATTTCATTTTTTACGTGATGCGATTGATTTAATTTTAAATAATGTGGATATACATACATAAATGAACGTTTTAGTTAAATTTAGTTTTAAATCTTAAATTAATGGATAACTTTAGCTGTTCTTATTCTAATTAATAACACAAGAACCAAACCAAAGGAAATGGAAATGTAGGTTTTTCGTTGAATTTGAC